TCGACCGCGTCATGACAAACCGCGTCGACAGAAGCCGGAAGCCGTCCAGGACAAGCGCGGTGCCGTACCGAGATCCCGCATAGCCAGGGGTCGTCGGCACGTACTGCGACCCGCCAACCGTCGCGCGCAGCGTTGAGTTCGCCAGCAGCACACTCGAGTGCAGCGGCATCGCGCCATGCAGCACGATCGTGCCCTCCAGCGACGTCAAGTTCGTCATGTTGACGAGGGCGTGGGGCATCAGGCGCGCCGTGCTCTCGCTGAGGCCGCCAATCCGCAGCTGCGCGCCGTCCGCAAGCACGCAGTGGCGCAGCGTCACGTTCAGCACGTCAGCGAACGCGTCCATCAAGCGCAGGTCCACCGCCACAGTGATCGGCCCGCTGAACACCACCGAGTCGAAGCACGCAGTCGCACGCCCGCCGCCAACCGTCACGGACTCCGTCAGCGTCACGCCACTCACGCAGCCCTGCGCACCGCCACCACCGCCACCACCGCCACGGGCCCTCGCAGGCGGCACGTCGAACGGCAGGCACGCCTCGCCCACACCGCCGGCACGGCAGCTGCACGCGCAGTCAGAGAACGACGCCGTCAGCGCATCAAAGCACGCCAGCGCAGCCGCACAGCCGTCGCACGGCACCACGCTCACGGAGGGCAGGCCGGCCATGCGGTAGTCGCCGCTGCTCCGCAGCACGCGGCCGCCGGCACGGTTGCACTGCACCAACACGACGCCGCTCGTGATCTTCAGCCCGGAGACGAGCGTCGCGCCAGTGGCAGTGCAGCGCGCAATCGACACGGCGCCGCCGCCCAGCGTCACACCCGACAGCGACGCCACAGACGACGCCTCGCCCACCGCCCACACGTCGCGCAGCTCCAGCCACCCGCCGGCACTGACCGTCCCACCGTCGCAGTGCACCAGCGACGACGCAGCAGACCCCTTGACGCGCACGAAGCGCAGCACCGAATCTAACGCAACTAGGCGCTCTCCAAGCACAAGGCCGCCGCCGTCGCTCACAACCGAGACGTTCGTCACGGAGAATACCGAGTGGCTCCGCAGACTGAGACGCGACGAGGACGCCACATGCATCGCGGACGCGGTCGGACCGCCCGACGCCTCCAGCAACACGCCGTCAAGCACCACCGCGCTCGACAGCAGGTCCACGTCGCCGCCAACGTACACCGCCGACCCGCCCGCCTGCAACGACCTCAGCACAGTGTTGCTCACACGCAGCTGCGTCTGCAACAGCGACGTCGCGTGCAGCACAAGCGGCGACGCCACCGCGTCCGTGAACCCGCTCAGCTGCGAGTAGCGCATCGGCCCCGGCGTCACAATCGTCGAGTCACGGACCGTCACGTTCGTGTGTGCCGGCAGGTTGTGCACAAACACAAGCGAGCAGTAGCTCCCAGACAGCCCGCTCACGCTCACCTCCAGGCTCCGGTCACTCGCCGGCTCGCCGCTGTAGCCCCGCACGTAGATCTGCGCACTGCCGTCGCACACGCAGTTCCTCAATTCGATGCGCAGCGCGCCGGGAAGCATCGCCGGCACATCGAACACAACAGCCACGCCGTTCGTGATGTACACGCCGTCCATCAGCGCCGTGTCCACGGCGCGGCCAACCGTGATGGCTCTGTCCACCGTGCCGCCCCGCAGTCGCAACACAACCGCATGCACCGCGGGCATCCACGCCGCCGCCGCAAACAGCGCCAACACCAAAAGCAGCATCGCCACACGCACAGTCGCAATGGCCCTGCGCCGCACACGGTGTCGGCCGCGCGGACACGCGCCCACCGCAGACCGCATCCACCGACCCAGACAAGTACCAACAGGGCTGTCGTGGTGTGTCGCACTCGCCCCGTCGACCATAATTCCAGCTTTCAAAATCCCTTCTTACAGATAGCGAATCCAGTGACACGATTCCGCCAGATCGTTATAATAATACTGCTAATCCTAATACTGCAATTAATCCCTAACACCTTAAAACGATAGTTGTGCTGGTCAAGCCAAAGTATCTCTAACTGTACGCTCAGAAAGGGAATAAAAGGCAGCAACTACAGTAACCAAACACAGTGGCACGCAGAGGCATCCGGTCATATACCATCCCCATCACAGTACAGCCGCCGACACAAAGCAGCGCAGACGCAATCAAGTCAGTGACACCATTGCCCTCCCACTTCCCACACAACCCCACAAAGCCACCGCGCCGAGTGGCGGAATCCCGGCAAAAAGCCAAATGACCACTGGCACCGCTCCTGTTACCGAATGGCTCCATCACAGGGCGGTCCCGACGCCGTGCACGACACACAAGAGCCGAGGCAAACCACGTGGCAGCGTTACGGCCGCCAGCCATCAAGCACGTCCGAAAGGTGTTGGTGTTGGTGGTACGTAAGTGGAGTGGAGAGCTCGCCGGTCGCCAGCAGCAAAAGCGTCGTTTCTAGTCCACGCGAGTCGGCATTGCACAGCAAGCAGCGGCACCATGCGCGCACGGCATACACAACAAAAATAAAAATAAAGAAGCACGGCGGCAGCACTCAAACACGGGGAAAAGGGTCCACACCGATTGTACATTCCGATTGGCTCACAGACATCCGGATGGTGGTCGCGCCGCTGCTCTGCGGTGCGTGTGGCGTGTGACTGCAGTGGACTGAGGGGATGATGAGAGGGGTGGGAGACGCAGTGCGGCCCACATCCATCTCGGTTAACTGTGACACCGGTGACGTCTTCCCGTCAGATCGCCTGCAGCAAAGACCGTCGCCGTCAGCAGCGGTCGGCGCCTTCCCTCTCCCACTGGGGCGCAACTGCAACAACGCAGTCGCTCGCCTCCTCCCTCACCAACACAACGAGGGAGCAACGGCAAAAGATGAGACACGCACGGCAAGCGCGCAGTAGCAGAAACCCACTGCTGCCGCCATGGCCAAACAAGGTCGGCTGCAGGGCGCAAAAAGAAGAGTAAGCACCCCACCAAACGCTTTGGCACCACGTGGAAGCACCGCAACCGACACACAAGGCGAAGCGCCGTGAAGCAGGCACCAAAACCAAAGCTCCTACAACAAATTCATCGTAAAGCAAAAGAAAATATTATGCGAGCGCATAAAAAATTCACACAAACTAAAAAACAACAATGACGCTGCAGACGCAATAAATGGTTGTGGTGCGCAGCAGCCGTGGCATCGCGCCCCTCCCTCATCAAACGGCACCGCACCACAACGCACCGTGACGACAGCGTGCAATGACGACGATTGAGTAGCACACACAAAGCGGCATAAACCTTTCATCCAGCACTCGCGCAAATTTACGCTCTCAGTATGTACTGCCAACGACACGGGGAAGGAGACGGAAGGGGACTGTTCTCTCCATCCTCCTTCTGCCCACAACAGATCCTCCCCATCCTCCTCCTCGCTAAGCCCTGGGTGCCGCAAAACGCCGTCAAGCAAAGCCACGTGTATGGAAGTCCTGAATGCGCGGGGCAAGACAGGAAGCCACCCACGCTCACTCCCCCGCACACATTTCCCACAACTTTCCCATACGCAAAAGGGCAAAGACATGGAGAAGAAAATCCCGCCGCACAACGCACGCAGAAACACCGCCATCCACGCCGCGCCGCAAGATAGAGCCATGCACACACACACACACGGCCGCGACGAGAGGGACGGGGCACGTCCAAGTCCACGGCGCAGTCTTTCACTTCTCTCCGCCTCACAGCAGGCGGTGGCGGGTGGCGTCCCACACTCACAAATGGGGCACGGCGCACACCATCCGCTCACTTCGAGTGCGCTCAGCAGACCGGCGCCCAGTCACCCTCGTGCCATCGCAGAGGGGAGCGCAAACAACCGTCGTCGCGGACCATCGGTGCCACTAGCAGAAAAGAAAAATAAGAAGAAATGGGGGCGTGTCAGCAGCACAGCCAGCAGAGAGACACTCAACGGGATACGGAGACACTCAGCGGCAGTGAACACAGCAAAAAAAAAATAAACCGCAGCAATTTACAAAAAACAAAGGAAAAAGGGGTGAGAGTCCAGAAGAACTCCCAAAAATATGAAAAAAAAAAAAAAAAAAAAAAAAAAAAATTGATTCGGAAAGACGTTTATTTCATGCGCCAAGAAGTACCATACAGTCATTTGTTTGTGTATGCATATTGCCCTCAACAATAAAAAGAGGTCAATAAAGGACTTTACTGTTCCACCAGCCCACACGACATTCTTCACATTTCATGCGGCATCCGGCTTTTTCTTCAAATTCTCGTTTCGTGCAGTCCATGGGACGCACAGCAATGAGGCCGGCACCGAATTTGGGCAGTAAAAAGCAAACAAGAGGCGGAAACACTTCACTCATTACAGTGTGCAGCAGACAGCCATTAAGTAAAGAAGTCACTGAGGATGCACAGTGGTCCGTCGGCAATGCGTCCGGCACAGCTCTCCGCCCTTCATCACCGCAGGGTGGCAGCGGCACACTCCCATCCACAGAAAAGAAAAACACGGCGGCAGGGTGTGGCTGTGTGTGTGGCGCTGCGGGTGTCTGCCCGCCCTGGCAGCAAAGAAAACAAAACAAGAGGGAAAGAAATGTGTGCTCCGCCCCACAGGCCCTCGTCGCACGCCCACACGTCACGGCTCCCTCAGCGCGCCGTTCGTCGCGGCCCCTCCTCATGCGTGCAGCAGGCGAGGCGCACAGGGCCGTCGTCATGAGCGTGTCGGTGGGTCTGCGAGTGGAGCAGTTGGGCGGGAAACACACGGCACCCCTCACGGGAAGAGTGCAGCAAAAAACAATTAAAAGAGGGAAGAGTAGAAAAGAAAAAAACGTCCATAGTGATTGCCCCAAAAGCAAAAAAAAAAAAAAAAAAGGGAAGAGAGAAGCAATAAAACGTGAAAAAAGTAATAAAAAATTTAAAAAATTATAAATTGCAAACAAACAGTAAAAAAAAAAAAAGAAGTTTTTATGAGGGAAATTCATTATGACGTGTATTTCTGTGCAGGGGAGGCCACAAGTGTCCCACGCGGCAGCCAGTCACTCCTCACAGAGCCGCAAACCCCCACAGTCCCAACAGAAGGAGCAGCAGCAGCGGTCCTCTCTCACACACAGTGCCGGCATCGCTGTTATTCCCCTGCGACAAATTTCCGGGACTGCTGCTGAGTGCCGTGGCATTTGCTTCCCTATCCTGTGGATGGATCCCCTCCTCCTCCCGCCCATCCTTTCCTCTCGCCGTCTTTCCATTCTCACCAGAGCTCACGCTCACCTCAGGATTCACCGTGGGTCCATCTCCCTGCACCGTATCTCCAACTTCTGTTCCCGCTCTTTGTTCACCATCTGATAAGAGGTCGCCATTTACTTTTTGAGTTCCATCGGAAGGCTTTCCTGACAAAAAGTGGTTTGCAGACCCCTCTTCTCCTGAGGAAGTCGTGGCAGTGTATTCTGTTGATGTGGATAAACCGCCCGCACCACTTCTCCCCAACGACTGTCCCTTTTCCTCCTGTCCTTCACCAGGAGAAGACTGAACCGCTGTTAACTGAGTAGGCGTGTTCACCGGAGGTGGAATAGAGGCTTTTCTCGGGTTGAAGGCGCCTATCTCAGGGTCATTCAACGGACGGTTGTACAGCAGGACGTTCGTCACCGTCACAGACACGCCGTCTCGGCTGTCTGCATTTCCTGCGTTGCTTCCATCCCCTCCAATGTAGAAGTGGGAGATCTCTTTCGAATCATTATTTTTTAATTCACATGGCGCGTCTCCCACACGCTGACCATCGACGTACGCGGAGCCATGGGTGCCGTTCTGTAGCATAAGCACCAGCTGGTGTGTAGTGCCCGGCTCCCAATCGCGGCTGTGCTCCGTCTTCGGCTTTCCATCGCACAGCAATTCCCACTTCTTTTCTTTGTTGTACGAGAACTCCATAAGTTTGTTTTCACCGTCCAGACGCACACCCATCAATGGAATAGGACCCTCCTTCGGCACACCGTCGATTGACACCGTTGCCACAAGAGTGAAGTTGTAGTTCGCAAAGTGGTACAGCTGATTCTGCCCCTGCGCGCCAACGGGCCACTCCGCCCACGCTCCCTGGAACTTCACGCCCTTATCCAAAGTCCCTGTGGCCGCTGCTGCACCACCCTTTACCGTGGCGTTCACCCCGAGGTACTCGTCCCTCCATGTGTCGTCAGAGAAGTTGTCGGACAAAAAGCCAACCAGCCCATCCGTGATCTTAACAGTGCTGCAGGCATCGTCAGTTGAGGTACCCTCCAAAGCACTTAAAGAGGTGCACAGCTGGGAGACACGTTCGTCCACTTCCTTCCAGGTCGTCAGCACCTCCTTCACCCGCTCCAGCTGCGCAGTCAGAAGCACAGAGACCATACCATATGATTGCTCTCCGTTGCTCTTCTTCTTCTCGTACAGTGCAATCAACTTCTCATTATTATTATTATCTTTACCACTTTTGTACAACAGGGAGCTGGCGGCAACGTCTTCGTCATCACCGGATACCGACCCAATATCAACAATGTGCGTATTGTCTGTCAGCCAAAGATGGAGTTTACGCCTTGCATTGACTTCGTTCTCAGTCTTCAAATACGCCGGCAGGGTAATGAGCATCACATTTCTCTTATCATTAACACCGTCAATCGTCGCTGTGATGAATCCGCCTCCAACGCCCCTCACATTTCCCTTGTGGTTGTTGCCCCACACGCGCGAGAGTGTCCCGAGTGCCTCCGTCCACGAATCCCCCATGTCACCGACCTCGTACACCCTGCGGCGGCCGTCATCACACACAGTCATTATCATGAGTTTTTTGTCCCTCCCCCACTCCACGACGGAGGGATCACTACAGCCATCGTCAGACATTCCCTTCGACAGCTTCCAATTGTTATTATTCAAGGAGTATATGATCAGCAAAACGGTCTTTTCGGCCTTTTCTACGCCCTCCGCCTTCTTCACGGCTTCCACAGGAAACACAAGCGTATGGTCTTTCATCTCAACACCTGATCCACCGCCGCCAATCAACCGTGTTAAGGATTTGTGTTGTTCGCCAAAAGATGGCCGCGAGACTTCGTTAATATTTTTCCAATGGATTGTTTTAACGCCTTTCTCATTACCATTGACCTCCCCTTTCACCAGCAAAAATCCACAGTCAACTGCATCTCTCTCCTCGAGACCACCGGCAGCTGTCTGGCTGTATTTTCCGGCAAACATGTAAATATCATTTCCCTCCACAACAGTTGTTGGTCGGCTCACATCTACTTTCTTCTTTTCTGCGGAACCGACTTTCTCCAAAACCTGTGTATCCTTTTTGTCATCCTTCAGCACTTCCTCCGGCTTGTTAGCAGTTGTTGTCGTGAGTAGTTGGGATGCAACGCCAGTAAAAACGTCGACTTCACCGTTCTTCTTCGCGCACTGCGCCTCGGCAACGGCAAACACGTCACTCCCCACTTTTAAAAGGCCGGGAACACCCAACGAAACCACTTGTTCCCTATCATCAGTGATGCCCGTCCATTTAAACTGGGAATCAGAAAGCCGCCCCTCAGCTTCCGCAGCCCCACTGCCGCAGCACATCAACACGACGACGAGGAGCAGCCCCGCGGAGCGAAAGAAATGCCGGGACATGCTGGGCCTCTGGTGCTCACTCTCTCTTCCTTCCCTCCTCTTTCCGCTGGATCCAGTCACGCGGCGACGGTTTTGTGCGTTGGGTGCCATGACAGCAGCAACACGTGAGAGCATATAAATATGTGTCTGTGTGTGTGTGGTGTGTGTGCTGTTGGTCCTTTCAAAGCCCTCGAATTTCACAGTAGCGATTTGCGCTTGTTCGTAACTTCCTTCTTGGAGACGAGCAACAAACAACAGCGGAAGAAAGGCAGTACAGCAACAGTACAGAACGCCACCATTGACAGCGAAACACAACATCACCATCACTGCGGCCGTTACTCTACAGCACCTCTCAACAGCACACAAAAATTAAGAAAAACAAGTGAGCAGCCTCCCAATGGGGTCACAGGCCGTGGCCCTGCAAATAAGCCAAACGACAGGGGGCCACGTGTGCAGTGAGAGGCACGAGAGTTGCACTGCAACGGTACGGCGGCGTGATGCCCCGTTGGGAGTATCGATGCAGACCAGCACACCGCCTGCAGAAAGAGTTGCTTCTCCCGCTCAAGAAAGAGAAAAAACGGCCTCAGCGTCCCAATAATGAGAGGTCGTCTGTACCTCCTCGCAGCACCTGCAAGTTCTGCAGGCACAATGATGCAGATGACGCTCTCCTGCACGCATGGCGGCCGCTGCATCCTTAACAATGGCAACCGCATCATGTGGCACCACACATCGCAGCGGGTGCGCACAGTCTCCGTCTCCCTCCTGTCCCTCTACCTGGGAACTCATCGGTGGACGTGGCACACTCACCGACATGTCAGAAAGCAATTGTTTTTCTTCCTCCCTCGCACATCGCACAGCAGCACCGCCAAACGAAGGTCACTCCTCCTGTCGCGGATTCTCCTCAGACACGCCTCCCGCCACATTCATCGGCTTACAGGCACACAGTCCGTAAACGTCACGCTGCTGCCCCGCATGACGGTGCCGCAAACACCAACACGGCGCCCCGCCACTCGGCGCAAACAGTATCTGGACACACAAAACAGGTTGCCCCAGCGAACAACAGCCCCCTCCAAGCAGTGAAACAGGACTCGTCAGTAACAATCAAACAATCAGCCCTTTGTTTCCTCCTTCCGCCATGCACGAAGTTCTGCTGCCCCATACATCATACGTGACGCCCGGACCCTCAATCAGCAGACAAGGCAGTATGCGCCTCTCGGTTCATTGAGAAACCCTCTGAACATTCTCAGCCAGTCGTCGCCATGGGCTGTGCATGAGGAGCACCACGGCAAAAATGCACAGGAGCTTATATGCAAACCCCCAACTCATTCCGCGTCAATGAAGAGTGTGGCACCAGACATCTTTTTCACAACAATGTCGACTTGCTCTTCTCTGAGAGGCCTCCCATACACATCGCATGTGATCAGAGTAAAGAAAAAGTAACGCCTCCAGTCTGACCGTCATTCCGCAACGGAGGCCAAGGCACAATCCAACAAAATGCCGCAAATCATCACATATTTCACACAGACCATCGGCGGCTCATGAGGCAAATGCACAGCACGGAAGAAGGGTCATGCTCGCAAACACGCAACACACATACACAGAGAGAGTTGGGAGAAGCAACACTAGAGAAACCTCATTCAACCGCCGACAGAGGAGCTCGTGGGTGCTACGTCCAAAGCCATTCTTTGTGAATGCAAATGACAATAACACCAAACAACGTGAAGCGCCGGTCGGGCACCACATATGGGACACAGACACCACCCACCCACCCATTCACTCTTCCTCTTCCCAATGGTGTGGCCCTCCTTCACCTCCACAAACACGTTTGCTGCTCAGTCATGCGAGTCTCTGACGCAAGCACTCAAGTGGCGTTTTGGTAATCCAAAATTCAGCACTTCCGAATGGCAGTGGAAATGCTCGCAGAGGCCACACGGCTCCTCAACGCAGCCTCAAGCCCTCCTCAGGACTTTAATGCGATGGAGAGGAATACAGGCGGCTCTCGTGTCACAGAAGGCGGCCAATGGGAGCGCTGTCCACATGCAGAAAATGCCGAGGTGTGAAACAGAGAAGGGAGGAGGTTCGCAGAGGGTGCCACCTGCCACGCCTGACGTGTGTCGTCTCATTCGTGCGATGGAGAAGTAATGAGACGGTTGTTGCGGTGCGTGCGTCTCACACTCGGGCCAATGAACGCCTCAATGAACATCCTGCCGAGGGCATGCAGCTGGCCGTGCAGACAATCCCGAGTCTCGCCAACGTTACCGCGGCCGCTCTTTTGGCGAGGCGTCGCTCTTCTTCTTCCTTGTCTCCCGTGCGCCATCCTCGTATGGAGGAAAACACCCTCCACAATTGGTGTCATCAATTACCTCCAAATAATGAAGATGATTCCCGGCCTCGAGAAAAAGCCCCCAAAGTGACGGTCAACGGGAACCCAGCAATGCATGTCATCTTCTGCAGCCGCGTGCATTGCAACTCCCCTCAGCTGCCCGGCGCTTCTTCCTTCTTTGTGGACCCAAACCGCATAGTACACTTGGAATTGCTCGGGTCCTCCACAGGCTCATGTAACCGTGTCCGTCCCACCCGTGTGGCTATTGGGTTGCATCACGTCACCGCTCACCGCTGCGCCACCGAATAACGTGAAATAAAGTTCCATAACACCACATCCGTGAGGCGAAAACGCATGCATAACTCCAGCGAGTTCCCATTGCGTAAAATTACACGGTACCACACACATACACTCTCTCTAATCAGTGATTCGCCGTCAGCAACCACAACGGCATTAAGAAGCAGGCTCGGGGCAATCCCTGAGAGTCGTCCCCACCCCGGCGAGCGGCCGACTCTGGGAACCCCGCACTCTATCGCCGTTCCGGGAGGGACTCCTGCCACCGCCAACCGTGTTCCTCCGTCGCGTTGACACACGGAGCTTTCTTCGCAAAACGACGCGCTCCATTTTAGAACGTGCCTGTGAGAGCGCGGGCCACAGGGGCAGGGCGCACCATCGCATTGTCCCGTCACAAAATAAAAAGAGAGCATCCGTGCCAATTTGCCGCAGTGCTCACGGATGTGCTTCTGCTGCCTTCTCTCGTGCTTTCCCAAATAAATCCTATGGTCCGCACTGCAATACCACGTGTCCTAACAACTCTTGGTGCCACGGCTGTGCTCCGGCAATGCGCGGCTGGTTCGGGCGCCGGTCGATGCCGCCAGCCCTGCGCAAACAACAAACATCCCATGAGGGAAACATTGCGGGCGCCTGGCCTCCCCGACAATACGGGGGCAATTGGCCCTTGGACCGCGATGTGGCGGCAGGCATTGCCAGGCGAAGGGCCTCCAGTTAGGCTCTTCGCTCCGTCCTGGTGGCTGGGGATGTGTGCCATCCGGTTTGCCCACAAGACCGGTGCGCGGAGATGACTGGCTGTGGTTCCCCTGTCCGAGAGGCCTGGCAATTGACCGTGATACGTGTGGTGCTGACTTTTGCGCGTATTCTCTATTTGTGTATGCCTTTCGTTCCCGGTGTGCCGGTGTTTTTTTTTTGTTTTGTTTTGTTGAGTCCCGGCTGTTTCATTCGACACGAGTTGTGCTGGGTCAATATTTTTATTTAATTATTTTTGTGCGTGGATTGCTTGCCCTTTCGTTTAAAATAAATAAATAAATTGGTGAAGCAATTGATCCCCTTACTTTTACCTAACGTATGCGTAGGATTTTTTTTTTCTCAGTGTGCCCAAAATAAAAAACGGAAAAGAAATTAAAAGAAGTTGAAAAGCAGCAAAATGCCTAGCATTCCTTTGCTGGCGGAGCTTGGAGCAAAGGCCGCTGAGTTTCAGAGATTATTAGACTCCACTGAAGCGCCTGAAACGGTGAAGAAGAAGCTTCGTCCAATCATGGAGCCGGAGGAGCTTTTTGTTTCTCAGGATTCTCGGATTTTTGTGCGTTGTCGTCCTATTATTCCTTTTGATCAGGAAGACATGTATAGTGAGAGCATGATTCGTAAGGTAGAAGGACGCCGTGATCTTGTTCTAATGGTACCCAAGGTTTCTTTAGCTGGACAGTGCTTGCTAGACCCTCATACGGTAAATCTTGATGGCGTTTTTGACGGAATGGATGATACTTCAAGAGTTTATAGAGAATCTTGTTATCCTCTGGTTAACTTATCGGTTGAAGGAGCCTCCACCTGCGTTCTTTGTTATGGACAAACGGGGAGTGGCAAAACCTATACAACGGCAGGCATTCTTCAGCTTATATCAAGAGATCTAGCTTCCTATTTTAAATCTTATGACATTTTTATTACTGTCATTGAAATACAAGCCAATAAAAACATTGATCTTCTAACGGGAACGGAAGTGCAAGTTGTGGAAGATGTATCTGGAGAATTAAAAATTAGAGGGGCTGATGCCTTTGAATGTTCAAATGAAGAAATATTATGGGCAGTATTTGAAGAAGCGGCTTCACAAAGAATGACAAAAACAACAGGTAGAAATGAGGCCTCTTCCCGTTCACATATGGTAACTTGTATAAGAATTGTCTCAAAAAATAGTAAATGGGCAAAACCTGGAGAACTTTTTGTGGTGGACCTCGCGGGAAGTGAAAACACAGCCGATAGTGCAACCCATGATAAAGAACGTCAAATGGAAGCAAAATTTATTAATACTTCACTTATGACACTCAAAGAATGTATTAGAACTCGCGTATTGGCGGCAACCAGTACAAATCATTTACATATTCCATTTAGAAGATCGCCCTTAACTTTGTTACTTCGTGATTGTTTTGAGATTGCTGTGAAACGCCCAACAAAAACGGTGATGATAGCATGTGTTTCACCCTTGTTAAGGGATGCAAGACACACAATCAACACTTTGAGGTATGCGTCGCTCCTTGCTGTTTCTCCTCCTGCACGTGTTGTCGCAGATGATCCGGACGACCCAAACGGGTTTGACAGACAGCAAGCATTGGAATTTTTGGTCCGTTGTTCAAGAGGGAGGATAACTGAACCTGAGTCTATTCTTCCCGAAGGAGATGGACGAACTTTAGTTCACATTCCTGAGGCAGAGTTTATTAGACGCATATTGGAATCTCATTCAAATATAACCGAAAAAGCAGCGAAACAGATTTATACCTCAATATGGCAAAAGGTTGTAGACGCAAGAACAAGGGGTCGAAAAGTGATGACGGCAGCGAAAGGAGCTTCATTTACTAAAAAAAGTGCTTGTACAAGAAAGTAAACACGCGAGGGGCTGGACCACCATCTCAACTATGCCAAATTTTTCTGATTGAAACCTAATCAATTTTTTTTTTTTTTTTTTTTTTTTGCTACTTTTCCTTTTTTTTTTTTTTTTTTTTTCTTTTTTTTTCTGTCTGTGTGTGTTTCCTTTTTTATATGTTTTAGATGAATTGTTGGAAGTGGCAACTTGTAAAGTTTGTGGAAATGTAAAAAAGAAAAGGTATCGTCAGACCTTGAACTTGAGGTGCTGAATCATATGCAAAATTTTAGATGAAAATTATAAAAATTTTTCGGGCATTCAAAAAAATATCCGTGGCTCTGTAGTTTGTGCATCCCCTTCGCTCCAAAAAATTATAAAAGAATGAAAATATATATATATATATATATATAATAAGAATAATAATAATAACAATAAAATAAAATAGAAAAATAACAAATAATTCTGATAATAACACAGATTTCTGAGTTTTATATTGCTTTTGGCTTTCTATTTATTTTTTCCTGTGCAACAGGATGTATTTTTATTTATGATAATGTAATTTTGTTCAATTGTTTTTTTTCTTTGAAAAAAAAAATTTTTTTTCTTATATTGTTTTTATTATTCTTATTCTTATTATTATTATTATTATTATTATTATTATTATTATTATTATTATTCTTATTCTTATTCTTATTCTTATTCTTATTCTTATTCTTATTATTATTATTATTATCTTTTATTTTATATGTATTTAGGCTTTTTATTCTTTTACTCATTATATAATTAGTATAATAGAAAAATGCAAATTGTTTCATTTGTTATTTTGGCTATTTTGTTGAGCTACGGAGCTTCCGCAAATGTTCTTGGCATTGACTTTGGATCTGAATACATTGAGGTTGCCGGGCCGCACAATGGCAATAACGTTGATATTGTGCTAAATGAGCAATCCCATCGAAAAACAGACAACTACATTGGCTTTAAGAATGGAGAGAGGTACATTGGAGATCAAGCCAAGGCGTTGGCGGCTCGTTTTCCCTTAAATATGGTTACAATGATTAACCAGCTGATAGGGATTTTGTGTGATTCCACCGAATTTACGATGTTAAAGGACCTGGAGTTTGAATTTGAGACCCGCCCCGAAGAGCGAAACACGATTGGATTTTGCTTTTCTCAAGATGGAAATTACACCGCGGAGGAACTATATGCCATGGTACTTCAGTACTGCCAAAGTATTTCGGAAAAAGATGGAGTGGTGGATCCAAAAAGTGTCGTTATTACAATACCGTTTCATTCTTCTATGGGAAAGCGACAAGCCATATTGGAAGCAGCGCGTTTAGTTGGAATGAATGTTTTAGGATTAATGCACAGTACTACGGCAGCTGCCTTTTATTACGGTATCCGAAGACGAGGATTGGGAAATAAAACAATGAATCTACTTGTTTATGACATTGGAAGTACTCATACCGAAGTTGGTATTTACAAATTTTCTCCCCCAGTCGCACAGTCTGGGAAGAAGATAAAAAATGCTGACAGTTTCGGTACTTTAACGACAATGGCTGTGGTAGATGATACGTTTTTGGGAGGTAGAGCATTTGACTTATGTATTGCCAAAATTTTTGAAGCGGAGGCAATGAACAAAATGAAGATTTCTAAGGTTATTGGTGGAAAAACGATACCCGAACGAAAATCTCAGTTTTCACTTCTGCGTGCAGCCAAAAAATCTCGAGAAATACTTTCAGCAAATAGTAAGACACCCGTTACTATTGAGGGTATTGTTCCAGAAAGAGATTTTAGTACGGAAATATCTAGAAAAGATCTGGAGGAGAAATGCTCTCATTTGTTCGAACGGGTGCCTAAGTTGGCGGAAGAAGCCTTATCTAAAGCTGGACTGAGTTTGAGCGATATCGATGCGTTTGAGATGATGGGTGGTACCTCTCGGACTCCAAAAATTATATCCGATCTTTCTGCTATGTTAGGTAGAGAGGTGGATCGAACTTTGAATTCCGATGAAGCAGCTGCCGTAGGTGCCGCATATTATGCTCTTCGCTTGTCACCTTTTTACCGTGTCCGTTCTTTTCGAGTGGAGGAGCATATACCATTTGTTTTCTTTTTTTCTATTACTTCTTCTTCGAAAAATTCTTCTCAATCACGACGTTTGCTTGCTGAAAATCCAGCTTTGGGGATGCGACAAAGTATAACGCTTAATCGAACTGAAGATTTTACCGTTGAAATTTTTGAATCCAACAATTGCGTCGTTAAAATTCAGGTAATTGGTGTAAAAACGACGCTTGAACGTTTGGGGTTTTTTGCACCAACCATTGTACATCCTAACAATAGCCATATTGTCCGTGTTCAACTGCGAATAAATGATTCTGGGCTTTTTGAGGTTGATGAGGCGGATGTCATTTATCGTTATGCCGCAAATGTCTCTAGTAAAATCAAACTGAACACAACAACAAACGATCTAAATACTTCAGATATAACAAATACTTCAAATATTACCAATACATCATACCGAACTGTCCATAATATTAAAATGAAGCGAACTTCTGCAACCGTTGCAACGACAGTGAGTTTTACAAATCCTTCACCACTGTCTGAGGAAGCTTTTAGGCGCTCAAAAAAAAGGATTGCTGAGATACTTGACAAGGAAAGAAAGAAACACGAAGCAGCTGTGGCGAAGAATAATTTGGAAGCTTATGTTTTTTGGGCGAAAAGCGAAGGCATTTTGGAAAACGAAACTGCTCTAGGTGTGATAAGTACAGAAAAAGTTGAAATGCTGAGGGCGAAGTTGTCGGAGGTGCAGGAGTGGCTTGAGGATGAAGACTGTGGCTCTGAGCAATGCAGTAAAGAAGAATATGAAAAGAAAATGGAAGAAATCAAACAAATTGTGCGCCAGGAACCAGACGCTAACAACGAAAATGAGGTTGTAATTGAATCTAGCGACGATGATCGGGGCGATCTGTGAAAAACTGGAAGATTGTTGATTTCATCGGTTTTATTTTTGTGTTTTTTTCTGTTGTTGTTGTTGTTGTTTTTCTTTATTTTGGCTGTTCTTTAATAATTATCATTAATATCACACAAGGGGTTTCAAACTTAGACGGAAATATCCTTATTTATCTTTAGTGTATTCTTCCGTGTTTTTTTTTTTTTTTTTTATTTTGCGAAAAATTTTGAAATCAAACTCTCGGTGTGGAGAGAGGGGAGGAAAGTGTGTAAAAAGAAACGGTAATTATCACTGTATCTAGAGTTTTTCTACCCTCTATGCGTGTGTTTGCCTGTTTTGCTTCTTTTTTTTGATAGTTTTTATTTTGTTTGTCGAGAGTTTTTATTATGCGTCGCGTATTTCAATTAAGCTCCACTTTATTTTTGGCTTCCGCTCGTTTGTATGGCACCCGCTACTTTACGGATAGTCATGAATGGGTAGAACATGATGGTGGTGTTGCCACTATTGGAATTACAGCCCACGCACAGGAAAGTCTTGGTGATGTGGTGTATGTCGCACTTCCAAATGTAGGGGATCAATTAAACGCAAAGGAAGTATTTGGTGAGGTGGAAAGCGTCAAGGCCACCAGCTGTATGTATTCCCCCATCAATGGTGTTGTTGACGCCGTAAATGACAGGGTAAAGGATGAGCCAGCTCTCATTAACCGTTCTCCTGAGGGTGATGGTTGGCTTATCAAGGTGAAATGCAGCGAACTTCCTCAGGGGCTGATGACCGCAGAAGAGTACAAGAAGTTTATTGATTAGAATATATATATATATATATAAAACGAAATAGGGACAACCATTTTGGTTTTCTTTTTTCCAAGGAGTGACGCAATAATAATAATAATAATAATAATAATTAGATAGGGTCTGTCTGTATAGAGAGAAGATGCACAGGAATGAGATGATCAATTTTCAACCGCTATAAGATATGCGTTACCTTCGTATTGCTCAAAAACAGCAGCAAAAAGTCCACACCTAAGTACGGAAAAGAAAAGTTAAAGGGCTGATAATAGCAGGCATTGTAGGGGGAAAGTTGAGTTACTGTTTTTTTTTTTTTTTTTTTTTTTTGTTGTTGTTGTTGTTTTTCAAATGGCTTATTTTTATTTATTTATTTAATTAATTTATTATTATTGTTTGCCATCTTGTGTGATTTTACTTATTTATTTATTTCCTCCTTTTTGCGGGGTCACATTTAAGGCCACATGTCCCGCGTTGAAGAGGCACGGTTGTATAGTTGGAATGCGGACCTAGAGAAGCGTGCCGCTGCGGTTCGTTCTGCTAGGTCGAAGCTGGAAGAAAAAAAAGCCGCCTGTATTCAACTGGAGGCTTCTCTTGTTGAGCTTGCCAACGAAAATGATGCTAGTGAACGAATCTTATTTCAAAAGGAACAGTACGTTGCATCCCGGAAAGCTGTACTTGAGCAAGCCAATACAGAGCGCAGCTCCCAGCGAAGCTTATTGGATAGAGAGAGAAAGAAAACGACTATGGATGCGGAGCGAGTGGAAAATGCCCTGGATAATGAGTGGCGCGGACTCGAGGAGGAGGAAAAGGCAGCGGAATTGGGACATCATCAACGGATGAACCGCTTTCAGCAGCAACTGGAAGAGCTTGGGAAGCAGGAGACTGAGCTTATTGAAAAACTCCGGCAACTTCAGAATGCGGAGTTAAGTGTATCGAACCTTTTGCGCCAGCTTAAGCAAAAAGACGAACAGTTGAAGTCTTTGTCAGAGGCAAGATTGCAGCATATGCGAGCAGAGTTGCGAGAGCGCGAGGCTTTTTTGAACCAATAACGACATTCTTTTTTTTTTTTTTTTTTTTTTTTTTTTTTTTTTGGGGGGGGGGGGCAACCACTTTATTCATTTTGCTTTTTGCTTCTTCCTTCTTTTATTGTTATTATTATGATGTTCTTCCAATTTCCTCTCCTGTTTGCTTGGCTTTGTTGCTTCCCATTGTAGTTGCACCACATCGGTCAGAGATGATTATTGTGCATTTTTAATTTGTTTGCGGTTTTATTTTTTATTTTTATTTTTATTCACGAAAAGATGCCCGTTCTAGCGACAGCCGGCTCAAATCATCATGCTCAGCTGGGCCGTGAAGGCGACTCTTCGTTTTTCGAGGTCCTGAGCATTGAAGGTGATTTTGTTCAGGTTTCTTGCGGAGCTCATTACACCTTGGCGTTGACAAGTTCCGGCAGTGTTTACGGGTGGGGACGTAATGAATCTGGCCAACTCGCGCTGCCTGCGCCAACTGTCAACTACCCCACTTTAATTAACACTTATTTTGATGATCGTGTTGTGAAGGTTTCCTGTGGAGAATCCCACTCTCTTTTTTTGACTTCTTCGGGGCAGATTTACGGCTGCGGAGAAGGTTCTTGTGGACAACGGGGAGATGGTACGTACCACGGTGAATGTTATGAGCTTAGACGAGTACTTCTTGATGAAACTGCACGAGATGTTTTTTGTGGTGCACGTACATCGTTTGCCATAACGGATGCTGGTGATCTCTTTGGTTGGGGAGAAACAACAACCGGTATGCTTGGCCCCAAAGTATGGCACACACCTACATTGGCCGTGCCAACTCGTCTTTCCGTTGGCCCCTCACGAACGCGCATTGCCCTTGTAGTTGCATCCGTAAACTTTGCAATTCTTGTAACTACAACAGGTGAGATTTTGGGTGCGGGGAGTAACAGTGATGGTCAGCTTGGAATAGCTGATTGTTGTACATACACATGGAGGCCCATAAGAGATGTGGGGCGTGTTTCACTTGTGGCCTGCGGTCGTCGTCACACGTTATGTTATCAAGTAGAAAAAAAGCGTTGCATTTTCCTTTCCAATAAAATTGAGTCATTCAAACTGTCTAAACCGACGGGACTTGCAGCAGGGGACGATAACGTCTTTGCGTGGACAGATGGGGGAAGCAGTTTGTTTGTTTATGGGCGCAATGGAGACGGTCAGCTTGGTGTTGGTGTCATCCCACACGTTGAAAGGCTCACAAAGGTACCTCTCCCGATAAAAGCAAATGTAGTTACTGTGTCGTGTGGGCGAAAACATACTTGCCTCCTGCTTTCTGCAGAGGAAGTGCAGCGCGGGAATTACACGGTATTCATGGAAGATTCTTTTGCAGCTGATGGAACTTCCTTCTGGGAGACATTTAGGGAATCGGATTGGAAAAAACCTTCATTTGGATGGGTATGCACAGCCACATCGTTTGCTGCTCTGATAACCGGAGTGTTAATTGCAAGGTTTTACGTTTGCCACCGATAAAAGAGAAGCAAGTAAACGACGCAAAATGGAAAACAAAAAGCCGTCATGGGTTAAAGGGTAAAAATTGGGCAACATGTGGGGTAAAATTGCCTCATTTCCAGCCTTTTTGTCAGAAAAAAAAAATTTATGAGCTATTTATTTATGCACCCATTAAGCTAAAATTGCCATTTTCAAAAAAGGCTCTCATCGCTTTAATCCGCATTGCATGGTAAAATAATTAAACTGATAAGAATACATACATATTCATAGCTAAGGCTTCTTTATTTCCACCAAATGAGGGAAAGGGTCTGTTTTTCCGGTTTTTGGACAACGGGGGAGGGTCAAGGGGTTATTTGGGATTGGCTTGATGGTACACGTACGGATAATAAACACGTACCTATTTATTTATGTATGTTTGGGATTTTGTTTACAATTGTTGCTTTTTTCCTTTTCGCCGCTTTGTTGTTATTTGTTGATGTTTTTTTTTTTTTGTTTTTTTTCTTGAAGAAAAGGTGAACCTTGAATAAATTCGAGTACGTGGACGGAATGTCCTTTTTTGTACATTTGCGTGTGTTGTTGGTCGTAGAAACCTATGCAAAGGATGTGTGACCAAATGGGGACAAGTAAATGATAGCACGTCTTGTTTAACCCGCTTTTTATTTCTTTTATTACTTTAGTTTTGCTTCCAGGGACACCGCGTTGGAAGGTATCGAGTGCAGCTCTTTCTCCTCTTCTGTTCTACCCACTATCCGCTACCCTTCACGCGGGGGAATCCGGTGGTTGCGGTTCCGCAAAGAGAATGCCGCTATGTGCGTTCGCAAAGTGCCCGGGTTTTGTAACATGTATGCCCTTTGAATTTGTTTATTGATGTGAGTTTTCTATGAATTTTTTCTGAGGTGAGCAATATAGGGCACATTGAACGAAAATTTGTCCTCCCGTATTTGTGTTCTTTCTTCTTCGGGGTAAATGTGAAAAGGTTTCATCCAGACGCATATTTTTTTTATTATTAATTTATTATTATTATTATTATTATATATATATATATATATATATATATATATATATTTGTGTGTTTGTTTGTCTGTACCTTTATTTCATTTTATTTTATTTTTCATTTGCTTTTTCTTGGCTTTGTAATCCCGCTGCTGCTTCTGCGGTGGTTACGACGGACAGTGTTGCTTTTTTGCCATTGGAGAAGAGTGATAAGAAATGGAGGATGTTGTCTTGCCGGTTTGTGTGGGCATTAATGGCTTTGGGCCAATTGGACAGGCCGTTCTTTTTTCCTCGTTCACGGACCCTTTAGTGAGCGTGGTGGCGATAAACGATGCTTCCATGAGTATTGACTACATTGCATACTTGCTGCGGCGCGAAAGCTCTCTTTCTGCAGGGGACAGAGCCTCAGTGTTGGTGGTCGGGGAGTTCATCTGCATCCAGGGTTCTCAGAAAATTCGTGTTTCACATAAGCATGATCTTGTGGAGATTGCATGGCGAGATGTCGGGGTGCAGTACGTGGTGGAGTGCACGGGACTAAGCTCCACGCGAGAACGCTGCTGGGGACATGTTGCAGGAGGTGCCAAAGGCGTCATTGTTGCAGGACAGAGTGCGGACGCCCCAACTCTCATTTCTGGTGCAAATGACGAAGAATTGAAAAGTGCGTGTTCCGTTGTGTGTGCTGGCTCCCCTGTTGCAGTCGCCCTCGCTCCTCTCATTCGTTTGCTGCATGAGCAATATGGTTTAGAAGAGTGCTCCTACACCGCCATTCACGGTATGAGACCAATGGAGCTTACAGCAGGAAGGTCCAAAAATCCGCAAGACTGGCGCCAAACAAGAGTGAGTATTGATAACATTGTTCCTTATATCGACAACGGGAAAAAGACCATGGATAAAATTTTACCAGGTCTTGTGGGACGCATCTCAGGAACTGCGTTTCAGGTCCCCGTGAAAAAAGGATGTGCCGTGGACATGTTGGTCCGGTTGAGCCAGCCTGTCTCGAAGGAAATGTTGGATCAAGCTCTGAAGGAAGCTGCTTCAGGTCGACTCAACGGAGTGCTTTCTTACTCAAAAGAGGACCTCATTAGTTGCGACTGTGTGCCAAATGGTAAGCTGTGTTACGACGCGACAGGTTCCTATTCTCTGCGTGATGGGGAGGCGCAAAAACTACTGCTGTGGTTTGATATTGATGGTGGTTACGCGAGGAGGCTTCTGTCCTTAGTGGTGCTTTTGCATCAGATGGGCCCCAGTGACGGGATGTAAACTTAAATTTGAAGAATATGGAAGAAATGATATCAAAGAAACAACAACAACAACAACAACAACAACAACAACAAAAGGCTTATGTTCTCAAAGGGAGTTTTTTTTAGGAAAAAAATGTGCCTCTCCACCCATGTATAATAGCTTATTTTTGGTGTTTTTTTTTTTTTGTTGTTGTTGTTGTTTCTTCATTTGTGTTTCCTCCAATGGGATGAATGATGTCAATTGACCCTACACTTCTTTGGGAGATTGTCTGTTTGCCAACAAAGGCCCATGTTTCTTTTTTTTCTTTCTTGTTTTTGCCTCTGTGGTTTATTACCGGGTTGTGTTACCTGATGACAATATTGTTTTCTCTTATTTATGTATTATTCTATATATATATATATATATATATATATATATATGTTTTCATTTTTTTAAAATTTCTCATCCTTTCCACAACAAACAAATAAAACGCTGCCAAGGGAAAAGAAGGAAAGGATTATTATTATTATTTTGTGTGTGTGTGTGTGCTGTTTTTTTGTTCCTATTGCATTATTCACGCATACTTTTGACCACACCAATGACTCTGAGCGCATTAATCTGTGAGGCAATTACGCGGATGGACCCGTGGACGATTCTTTTGGCCGCTCTGGTCCAACAGCTGTTTTCCATGGTTTGGTTTGGTCTCATCGTGAAGACAGTTGCGGATTACTATCTTGCCGCCGACAAGGGTGTGCGGAGGGTGGAGCACATAGTGTACCGATACTCTCCTGTTTTTTGCTGCATCACCACATTTGCTGCCGGTGCCGCCCGAGCCGTCGCCGTTCACACGATTATCACTGTTTGCAACGGCAAGGGACTCTGTGACTACCAGACGGCTGGGGTGGTGGTTGCACTGCTTACATGCATCAACCAGCACCAGTTTTTCTCTTGTCAACGACCTTTGCCACTTCTGCTCACAGAATGTGGCTACGAGTTTGCCGCCGCTCTCCTGGCATCTGTCTGTTGTCTCGGCATGCAAACTTTTGTTCTCTAGATGGGAGACATCCCGCCATTTTATGTTACTTTATTTTCCTGCCTGTCTGTATGTTTGTGTGTGTGTGTGTTTTGTACTATTGCTTCCACCAATTTCTTTTGATGTACCACGGAAGATGTCGCCGCAGCGAGTGCTTCTTTCCCGCTTTTCGGCAAGCACTGACCGAATAGAGAGCGAGCGAGAAGGAAAGAAAGAAAAGCAAAAAAAAAAAAAAAAAAAGAAATTCTTTTAAGAAGCAAAGAAAAAAACTGAAAAATGTACGAATTAAGAGCAACAAACATGAAGGGAACTCCATTTCATGAATCCAGAAGAAAAAGGGAAGAGTGCATGACATGGAAAGGAGGAGGTCATACGATAGAGCGACTGCTCCCTTTTTTGTTTTGTTATGTTTTTTTACGAACTATTGTATCTTATTCATAGAGTATACGCTAATTTTTTTAATGCTATTGGTCGACTGGGGGACGTGGACGTGGACACGGTTATGTTCGCAAAAGACGCATCTGATAGACGCCGAGGAGCACATGAAGAAATATATATATAAATATATATATATATATGGAAATGAAAGAAAGAGGCGCTTGTTGAGCATTTGAGTTTAAGGGTTATTTCTGTTCTTTATTCTTTCTTGATATATATATATATTTATTTATTTATTTTATTGCTCTTTTTGGTTGACGGGTCACCTGGTTTGGGTTTAAGAGGAATTGTAGAAAGAAAGAAAATCCCAAAATAATTGTTATATATATATATATACATTTGAGCTGCTGGGAGGACGGACATGGGGAAACTCTGTTGGCTTCAGATTTCGATTGGTGGTAAGCCAGCAAAGGAGAAAATTCTTCTAGAGCTGTTTGACGACATTACACCAAAGACATGTGCCAATTTTCGGGCGCTTTGCACGGGCAATGAGGGCAAAGTGACAGATGAGACGCAAATACCAATGACATACAAGGGCAGTACATTTCATCGGATTATCGCTGGCTTTATGATTCAGGGTGGCGACTTCACGAAGCATAATGGTACAGGCGGTGTGTCCATTTATGGCGAACGCTTTGATGATGAGAACTTTGATGTACCTTGCGACAAGGCTGGTTTGCTTGCGATGGCAAATGCCGGACCAAACACCAACGGGTCCCAGTTTTTTATCACTGTGAATCCAGCGCAACACCTTACGGGTCGACATGTTGTGTTTGGCAAGGTGGTTCGTGGGATGAATACCGTTCGGGCTCTGGAGCACACCGAAACTGGTGCGAATGACAAGCCCGTAAAACCGTGCGTGATAGTTGATTGTGGGGTCACAGATACACTTCCTGAGCCGGAGCCTCAGGTCGGGGGGGACACCTTCCCAGATTACCCGGAGGATTGCACTCCATCACTGACAGATGCAGAGCTTCTTGATGTGGGGGAGGAGATAAGGCAGATTGGTAACAAATTATTTAAGGCATCGGATTTTGAAAACGCCATACAGAAGTATGAAAAGGCCGCACGGTTCGTAAAGACAATTAACAAAACCACTGCAAACGATGTGGCTGTTAATGAGAAATTGATTGCCTGCTACAACAACACAGCTGCATGTGCAATAAAATTGGGCCAGTGGTCAGAGGCGAGGAATGCCGCGTCGAGGGTTCTTGAGTTGGACAATTCCAACGCCAAGGCGTTGTTCCGCCGCGGATTTGCCTCTCTCAGTGCGGGCGATTCTGAATCTGCCGTGGCAGACTTTACAAAGGCACAGAAGTTGGACCCTGATAACACTGAAATCGTGACAGTGCTTCAGCAGGCGAAGGAAGCAGAGAAGGTTCGTACCGCCAAATTGGCTGCAGGATTGAAGAAGATGTTTTCGTGAGATTAATTTTTATTTTGCCATCGCTGTTTCTGCTGGATTTAATGAAATATCATCCCTTATTATTTATATTATTATTGATATTATTATTATTATTATTATTATTATTATTATTATTATTATTATTATTATTATTATTATTATTATTATTATTATTATTTAATATTTAATATTCGCTGTATTTTTTTTTTTTTTTTTTTGTTCTCCCATGCGTGATGCCGCGGTGGAAGTTGTTGAGGGCTTTAAAAGAGGTGGTTTCTAACAGAGCCCAGGGTGCGTGGGGAAAAAACGGAAAAAAAAAGGTTGGAGATTATTGATATGGATTGAAGTTGTGATGTATTGCATGTGTGGATACACGCTTTTTATTTATTTATTTGTTTTTCTGTGTCTATTTGTATCTTTGCCACGAATACGTTCTTATTTTACGCGTGTACTTCTCTGAAGCACATGAAATTAAAGAGGCAAAGATGACATCGGCTTCAGCTCTCGCCGTAGGCATTGTGGTAGGGGTATTTCCTACAACATCACCCCCTGCGGGTCCCCTGGTGGTTGTGAAGGAATTCAGCCCAGAGGGGGCTGCGTTTTTATAACGAGTTGACGGCTTTGGGTGGAGGGAAATACGAGTGCCATGTGCAGCGTTTCGGAAGCTTATTGTTGGGAGTGTTGTGGTCAATGCGATCTCAGATGGGAACGAACCAAAATATGTGTAAGTTTCTCTTGGATTCTACTGCCACTAGACCAGGAAGCTGAATAACTAAAGGGAGAAGGCGAGGTTGCTAGGGTCTAATCACTTTCATTTTGTGGAAATGTTTCTGACATTCTACAAGTCAATTTCATTTGGGTCCATTCGCCATGTGATAGGCTTTTCTGACGTGCCGGTCGTTTTTTCAGGCGATACTGGGTGCAATTGTTTTGGATTTTTTGAGCCTGTTTGTTTGTTTATGCATTTTCTTTTTTTCCCCTCCCTGCCGCTGGGATTAAAGATGAATATCGCTCAGTGTATTTCTACCATCTGATGCGTACAGAGATGGTATTGTTGGGCATTAAAGCACATGTAAAAGCGTGCCTTTCACCGTTGACAGCAACAGCCTTTCTTATTGCACTTCTTTATTCTGCATGCTGTGAATGAATGTCTCTATCGTGGGGAAGTTCATCTGTTGTTTGCGGTCACAGGCGTGGCCGCTTTGCGGGGTATTCTCCTTGGCGTAGGGCAAGAAGCATGAAGTATTCGAGTCTTGGGTTGGTGATGGTTTGGTGGTGGTCTTGGAGTGGGTTTGTTTGTTTGTTTCCTGGTACGATCTTCTTGCAACGAGAGCTGCCGTAGCGATGACGGTGATGAACTTTCTCTTTTGGATGTTTTCCCTTGTATCGTGTATGCGGAGGAAGAGTAGGGGGCGCTAAACGCCTTTCTCGAATAGGGTACAATAAAAAAAAGTAGAAGAAGAGGAGGAAGAAGGAAAGATGCTCGAAGCAAACTCGTATTCGGCGCCGCCAAGCCTCACATTAGCGATGGTGGAGGCGAAGGAAAAGGAGCTGGAGGAACGTCGCGAGAGCATACGTAGACGACAGCGTAGTATTGCCGCGGAGGTGGGACCACCGCCCAATTTCCCTCCAGCGTTTTTATGCATCAGGCCACAGGTATACCACAACATCAAGGAGCAAGTACCCGTGCACTTACAGCGTTTTATGTATACTCTGTGCGCGTTGTATATATGCTTAATTGTAATGATTATTTACAATATTGCGTGCGCTTTTGTGAATTTTTTAATGGGAGGAAGCACCATGCAATTTGCACTTTCTTTCCTGTATCTTTTGGGAATTCCCGGTGCATTTGTTGTGTGGTACTACAATGTTTACTGCGCGACGAAGGATTCTTCGCAGTCTAGGAAATTGCTGTCATATTTTGGGCTCCTTGTTGGTTTGATTTTTGACGTATGGATGGCGGTCGGTTTGTCTGGTTTTGGTGGATGTGGGTGGATAATAACACTGGGACTAACACATAAAGCCCCTGTATTTATCCCCTTCTTGATCTCCTCCATTCTTTGGTCTCTGCATGGAGCTATTTTCTTTATTATGCTTTTGCGATTCTGGCGTTATCAATCGCATAGCGGGGGGTCACGTTATGTGAGTAATGAAATGTAGAATGTGACGTAGCTGTTATTTGTAGTGCATTTCTTTTATAGCTTGTTTCTCCTATTTTTTTTTTTTTTTTTATTTGGAGGAGTTTAATTTTACGTCTAATTAGTGTTTTTTCTTTTATGTTTGCCGTGGTTGCGGCCTTATTACTATTGATTTTTTTTTTTTTTTCTTGGTGTTCTTGTGTACGCTTCGGATTAGTAGATATATATATAGTTGTGTGCAGCTCTCTTTCTCTCTTTTTTGTTTTTTCTTTGAGCGTGATTTCCAATCATTTTTTTTTTGTGTGTGTGTTTTTGCTGCAATTAATGTCATTCTTGTTATTTACTTATTTATTTATTTTTATTTTTTCATTTGCCTTGCGTGTGAAATCTTTGCCCCACAGGGAGAGGAGGCGTGTGTGTGTGTGTGTGTGTGTGTGGGACGCAACAAGGCGAGAAGGCAAACACAACAAACAGCGGAGGAGGAAAACAGGCATTCGCCTGTTCCCTCAACGAAATCAAATACTGAAGAGCCATGTCCAGGGCAACGAGTTTTCATCTGGATTCCACGAATGAGTATGGCGAGGAAGATCACTTCCAGCATTCTGCTGCGGGGGAGAATCGGCGGCTATCGCGGCACAAAATTACCATTAGTCATGGCAACGCCAAGTTTTTAAAGTACCAGCTGCAGGAATCCCACATGTTCAAGGTTGTTATAGACGGTGATGACGGTGGAGTGGACATGCGCAAAGTTCACGAGCGCATTGAGGCTGCGCTGCGTATGCGACCCCGCTACAAGAAGGTGAATGGGCGAATCCAGATGCCTCCGTTACCGTCTCGTGTTCGGATATCCCAAGAAAACGGTGTCTACAAACTGTCCGATCATGATGTTTCGCCCATGTACTCGTTGCAATCGTGGTCCACCTTTGCGTCGGATGTGCAGCATCTACGACTAACTGTTGGGAACACCACCTGCATTAAGGCATGTTCGCATCGGCTCAACATTATGCAGGAACGTTCCAGAATGTTTTTTCTTCTTAATGCCGACATTGAGGAGAAGCACAATTTCCGCAAGGCCGGGGGTGTTTTCTCCAAAGCCACCAAAGTGGACAATTCGGTGTTGCTATCACGCTCTACAGACGCCCAAGAAACCCTCGACTTTATTTTGGATTGGTATAGTCGCTACCCAGACGCTCCACTGCGTCTCCGGGACGGCACCAATTCGACACTTCGAGAAATATTTGAGGTGTATGAAGTAAAGGATCCATCAAGGCTGACAGTGGAAGGACTGGGCTGGCGGCCGACACCTGGTAGCGTGGAAAACGCTGATTTTGCCCTCGATTCAGCCCCACTGAGCTCTGAACTGCGATATAGTTTTCTGCACTTACGAGGTTCATGTGCCCCGCGTTTTCTACAGAAGCGGCTTCAGAGAGCTGAACAGCAGGTACGGTACGTTCAGGCAACAGAGTATTCTATTCCATTGTATGCCACATACCCAAACGAACTTGCAGACATTGCCATGGTTTTGAACAAAAATAACATTGGCCCCTATGGACGCAATATGTGGATTTTACAGGTTTGCTTCATGCGTAATCCACCATTCGGTGTGAATTATCCGGTGAGTTGCAATACCATCCAGGACCAACTTGACTTTATCTTTTTACCCTTGTTTAAGGCGACACTGTATCCCACAGTGCCGAATTATGCTACGCTTGCCTGGTTTCTTGAACAAGTTGGTGGGTTTGTTATTCGACCACCGGCAAATGTCTTGGAAGCAGACTTTGATGAAAAATCTCCCGTTCCCAGTGAAATGCCGTATGGCACTAAACCAAATGAACTTTACTACTTGTATTACATGTATGCCAATTTGACGGTGTTGAACAGTTTGCGGAAACGCAAGGGCCTAAACACGTTTCAGTTACGTTGCAGCGGTGGCTATCGAACCTCAATGGATGGTCTTCTTGCCGGGTATCTACTGGGGGACGTTATCACGCGAGCGACAGAAATCATGGATTATCCAGTGTTGCAATACTTGTGTGGATTACATGGTGTTGGTCTTACCGTAAGCCCCTTGCATGATCATATTCAGGGGATTGTACACTATCAAAATCATCCTCTCCCAAATTTTCTGCATCGATGCTTAAATGTGGCAATTGCTACCGAAGCACCCCTCCTTTATCATCACGGCTCATCTCCACTGTTTGAGGAATACGGAACAGCAATGAAAATCTGCGGCCTGAGTTTTCTTGATCTTACGGAATTGGCCCGAAATAGCGTGATGATATCCTCTTTTCCACTGGAGACCAAGAAGGAATGGCTAGGGGAAAACTTTAACCGGGGAGTTGAGGGAAATGCATTTGAATTGAGTCAAGTGACAAACGTCCGCCTTGCATTCCGTGAGGAGTCATGGGACTTGGAACGAGGCATGCTGAAGGATTTATATATCAACCGAAGTCTCCCACGCGAAGCGATAGGGTCGAGTCGTTGGCATTACATTAGTAATGTGAAGGAGGTGGAATATCACACTGTGCTGGATACGCGAGTTCGTTTTCCTCGCACAGTCCTGAATGGCCCCCACAAGGAAGTAAAGTGGGCTGTCAGTGCCGCACGAGGCATCGCCCGGGCAATGGATCTGCGCTTCAAGTACATTTGGGAACCTCCAAATCCGTGGGAGGTGACACAACAGCGCTCTGTGGAAGCCGATTTTCAACGAAAAACCGACAGTTTCAACGAGGACGACTGGACGTATGCCGCAAATGACGCCGTCTTTATTTCTTTCCCCAAAAATGTCGTCCATGCATGGCCTCGACAGCTTCCAACGGTAGAGACATTCCGCAACGATTTAAAGGAGCTACAAGACATTTGTGCATCCTCGGATGTGAAGGACTTTTCACAAAAACGACTTGAAAATTTGGAGCATCGGTTTCGCCTTCATCTTGCCCTGAACCACGCCAACGAGGCGGGAACGACGGAGGATCGTGTTTCTTCTAACCGCGATATTTATCAGGCGGTGAAGGTTGACACGCACATTCACATGGCGGCCGGTATGACCGGACGACAGCTTTTGAGTTTTGTGGTGAAGAAGCTCATGTATAGTGGAGACGATATTGCCACGAAGAGGGGGGATCTGATTCACACCCTTGGTCACTTCTTTAAGAAGAATGGCATCACCAAGAACCTGACCGTGGATCAGTTGAACGTGCAGGCGGATCACACCTTATTTGAGCGCTTTGACAATTTCAACAATAAATACAATCCAATGGAGAACCCGGAGCTTCGCTCATTACTTCTGAAGACGGATAATTTTATGAAGGGACGATACTTTGCGGAGCTGATTCAAGATGTGTTTGCGCAGTACTCAAGGGATCGCCACACATATGCTGAAAACCGTGTTTCCATTTACGGTATTAACATCAGGGAATGGGACAATCTTGCACTCTGGTTTTCCACGCATGGAATGTCGTCTAAACATAACAAGTGGGTCATTCAAGTACCGCGTGTGTACAAGGTTTTTCGTGCACAGAATTTGATTGGGAGTTTTGGACAATATTTACAAAACATATTTCAGCCACTCTGGGAAGCCTCACTGCATCCTTCCGAGCATCCTTTGATACATCACTTCTTAAACCACATGAGTGGGTTTGATTCTGTCGACAATGAAGCAACACTTGATTTGCCATTTTTACCAGTGTCACCATGGGCATGGACATCCGTAGAGAATCCTCCATATAATTATTATTTGTACTACTTGTATGCCAACATCCGTACACTTAACGAATTTCGGGCATCACGAGGATTTTCAACATTTGCGTTGCGTCCTCATTGTGGCGAGTCAGGGTCGGCAGAGCATCTTTATGGCGCTTTCCTCTGTGCAAACAGTATTTGCCACGGCATCAACCTTCGGGATGACTTTCCAATGCAATATTTGTTTTATCTTTCGCAAATTGGCTTGCACGTATCACCACTGAGCAACAATGCTCTCTTTCTACGTTTCTTGAAGAACCCGTTTCCGGAATTTTTTCGCCGCGGTTTAAACGTCTCACTTAGCACAGACGATCCATTGATGTTTCACCAGACACAGGAACCCCTTATTGAGGAGTATAGTATTGCAGCACGCGTGTGGGGCCTTTCTCCCAATGATCTCTGTGAGATTGCACGTAACTCGGTATTGCAGTCTGGATTTGACTACGTGTTCAAGCGAGATGCCATTGGAGATCAATGGTACATGAGCTCCTCCCTTGGAAACGATTCTCTGCGAACTCATCTCTCTGACATCCGTGTCGCATTTCGGTTTGAGACATACCACACAGAGATGGATATTCTTGAATTGTGTTCTGGGCGTCCCATCAAGCGTTGCATGCTCACAACGAATCAAGAAGAGGAAATCAATGAGAAAAATTTTGACGTTGGACCTGAGAAAGTCATTCTGTCAACGCACGATCAGGCAATAGAAATCATGCTCCGCGAAGTTGAAACAAGGCGGGAACAACTGCGTGTCTCGCGGGTAAAGGTGGACGCTTTGCGTCGACAGCAAAAGTCGCTTGTGGATAAGCTAACAGAGTTGGCCATACATCAACAGGAAATGCAGGAGGAGGCTGAACGCTGCAATCGCGCGGAGGCCTTACGCTACGAGCGGCGTCCTCCCACACCGCCTGATGCGGCATTTATGACGTCTGAGCGGGCGACAGTGCAGCGGCTCCTTCGATGGCGTCCAAAGCCATTGGACGTATTGAAGCATACGACGGAGTCATCTGTGCCGCTGAGGAACCCTAGAAGGTTGCCCAGTTTGACTGCTCCTAGCATCGGTGTCCGGCGCACCATTTAAACCATCATATATACAGATGTACATATATAGTATGGAAAATACTTTGACATGATGTAACTTTCATTTTTTCTTTTGCTACTTTTAATGCTTGAATGCAATTCCCCTTCATGATATATATATATATATATATATATATATATATATGTTTATTTATATTTATATGCCTTTCCTTTTTTTCTTTAGTGTTTCAGTCTGTGTGTGGCTTTTTGTGTTGGACGGTCTGGAGAAGGGATCGAAGAAAATATATCCACATACAAACGCCATTTGTATTACTCCATATTTTACTCTAGGCATTATCGACAGACATGTCGAGTGTGGTGGACCCTGTTGACGGGACGATTACCCGGGATAGTTGGACCTGCCCGATTTGTACGGTGGAGGTTTCCCGGAAAAATGCTTTCTGCCAGGTCTGTTTGCGTTCTCGACCGATGGACCGTTGCGGTGTGCCCCAGATCTTTGCGGGGTGCAGGATTCACTTCAACGGAGTCATTCCACGTACCATCAAGCACCCAAGTCACTCTGTTGAATGGCGCATGGCTGAGCGTCACGGGGCGACATGCATCGTGGATTTTGACGTTTCACAAGTGAACGTGCTGGTATACCGCCCTGGATATGAGCGCAGTGACAAGGTACGGAGGTGCGTAGAAGGGGGAATCAGCAATATTTTTGTAGTTCCTATTACATGGATGCTGGACTGCCTGCTACAGTCGCGTCAGATCCACGTTGGGCTATATCGCCTAACATCTATTCCAGCTGTGGCACAGCCAACTGGAAAAGGTCCCGTGCTTCCACACCATCAGCACCCCTACTACCTAATGAATGTGGAGGAGTACGCCATCCCAACGTCATTCTCGCAAAATAGGCAGAAGGAAGCAAATGGCTCTCCAAACAATGTTTTAGTGAACGCAAATGCAAATCTTCCACCTTGCTTTGAAGTCCCCGAACTGCAGTACACAAATGTTGACGTGTTCGAGGCCGTGTGCAACGCGCAAAAGGGTAAAGCAAGTGTAGAGGAGGATCAGGAAAATTATGAAGATGCCCCTGAAACACGTAAGCGGGCGGCTAATATTGGGATTCTTCGCTGCGAACAACGACACAACCGTGTTGACAGTTTTCTGTTTAGCGGGATGAAATTTCTTCTTACCCCCTCGCTTGAGTCTAACCCCCACTTAACACGGGCACTTAAGCTGTGCGGAGCCCAAATAGTCTCTTCATCGGAAGGCAGCCTTGGAAAACTTTTACGGACAGCTGTGACACACGTGCTGTACGACCATGGCGAGAAAAAGTGCGATGTTATGATAGAGGCAGCTAACGTTAAAAAGGAGCTACCTGGACTTACATTGGCACAGGTCAACTGGGCAGAAGATTGTCTGATACTTGGAGAACTCGTCCCTCCATGCGGTCACTACGTCCCAACGGAAAAGCTGCTGGCTACACTCTCAAAGAAGTTCGCTAGACGGTGAAGATCGGCGTTTGAAATATATATATATGTATACGCCGTTTTTATTTCCGCTCCCTAATATTAACTGCTTGGGAGGTTATGTGTGTGCCTGTGCGGTATTTCCATTTTTGTGGAAAGGAAGAATTTGAGAACATCGACTCGTCTTCGTACCGTCCTCTGTAATTAGTAGAGTATAGTTTGAATGACGCCTAAGAATGAGAGAAGAATATTTCTTTTTCATGTTTTATGATTCCAAATGAGTTGGATAAAGAGAACAGAGAGAGGATTTTCTTTTTATTCTTTATTAGCCTCTTTTTGGGTATCTTTTCTGCTATTGACGTCACATAAGGAAGGTGGAGGGACGCGGAAACCTTTGCGAGGGTGTTTTATGGTTTTTTTTTTTTTTTATGTTGAACTCTTCTTTATATATGTGTGTTGTCCTTATTCATCTTGCCTTCTCTTCTCTGACTGTTGGCGTGGTGTCACTGGGGTCACAAGCCTCACCCTTGTTGCTTTCGGGAAGGATCACATAGCATTGCAGAAAAACGACACTTTTTTAAGAGAGAGAGAGAGAGAGGAAAAAAAAAGGGGAAAAAAAACAGGAAGGAAACAAAAAGAAAGAATGGGTAGTTGGTGCCGTATGCTTTCGGGAGGTGTTTTGCGCGTTTTCATTGCTGTGTCTGTGCTTCTCGGTTGTGTTTTCGCCGAGGATTGCGAATTAGCGAGGCAACTGCGTAAGAATGAGATGGGGCTCTTCAAAAACGTCGAGCTGTCGCAGAACTTGAAGCCCTCTCGAACCGGCTGCATCGCGTGGAATATGGGCTACTGGAGCTACGAGTTGTGTCCGGGTAGGTGGGTTCGGCAATACAGGGAGGTCAAAGAGGTGATAGTGGAGGAATACATTCTCGGCGTGCAGCACCGGTGGCGCCTTGTAGATGAAATAGGATCACAGCTCCTGCAGTACAGTGATGGTTTTTATACCCTGCCCGACCGATTAAGGAGTACCGGGACGACCATAGATGCAGAAAATCAATTGTATGCATGCGCCAAGGAAAGTAATAATAATAATAACAAACAAGTTGACGTGGTTTATCCTGATGGGTCTCCGTGTGGAAAGGGCTTTCGCCGTTTTTCACTTTTACATTTTGTGTGCAATGAAAATGTCCACTATCCGATCGTGAAACTAAAAGAACCCGCCATGTGCAAATATGATATAACAGTTGTAGCTTCAACCATTTGCGAAGCGATGCTTGGAAGCTTCCAGGCACAAATTGAACTGAATGATGCACATATGAGGTTTGCTATTTGAGGAAGTTGGAAAACTTAGTCTTCTTTTTTATGTGTGTATCCTTATCCCTTGCTAACACCGTATATACATTATTTGTGTACATTAACGAGAGATGTAGAAGAGGTGTAGTGAAGAAGATGGAAATGGCATAAGTATTCCCGTGTTAAAATGGGATGCATTGGAGGTTCTGATGTGTGTTTTTCTCCCCTTTATGTTTGGTATATATTTATTTGATTGGCGGAGGGTTTCTGTTGCCGCACTTCTCCACGTGACACCCACACACTTGTTCTTGCATTTACTTCTAGGAGGAATATCTGGTAAAAAGAGGGAAAAAAAGGGGGAGGGCAAGGGGAATTAAGAATGTTCCTGTTGATGGTGTTTGCCCTGGTGATTGCGGTTTTTATTGCCGTGTCACCGGCCGCGCAGGCCCTTCGCATGAAAATTGGATCCTACATCAGTGGTGTGCAGTTTATGATGGTTGCCGACGACCTTCCGAAATCGTTTACCGGGAGTAACCACATGCAGATGAAGGCACCGGCAACAGAGGGATCCAAACGTGTCATCCGAGTAGTGTTTATTCGGCATGGGCAGTCCGTTTGGAATTCCTTATTTAACTCCTTTGGAGCCTTATGGCCTTTACGTCTGGTGAAGGCGTTTGTTCGTGAAACGATTTATCTTTTTATGGATCCATTTGACTCTGTTATCATCGATTCTCCACTAAGTTCCAAAGGAAGCTTGGAAGCAGAGGAATTGGCCCAGTTCATACGTACATCCAAGGGTAAGATATCGTTTGACACAAACACATCACTTGTAGTTTGCAGCAACCTGCGACGGGCGATGGAAACTGCAGTTGTTGGCATGAGACCTCGTATCTCTTCTACACGGGAAAGAATTCTGGTGGACTCTTCGCTACAAGAGGGTTCCCGTAACATAGACGCACAGACACTTTCCACGGAGCGCGGGAAACTTGTTCCTTGTAAAATGGGCAAGTTGAATTTCTCGGAGCAGCTCGGTACAGTTTTTGATGCTCATCTGAATGCCGGTAACAAAACCTCGAAAATCAATGTATACGGGCGAATGGATGAATTTGTTCGCCACCTATTCGATGGGTCTCAGCCGGACTCATATACGCCAGCCACATCTTCAGCACTCGGCAATGCAGAACTGAAGGAGGTCATTGTGATAGGGCATAGCAGCTATTTTCGTTGTTTTTTTTGCCGATTTTTGCCGTCATCATCCCAGCATATTGCGAAGAAAAAGAAGCTACGTAACTGTGGAGTTGTCGCCTTTGACCTTCTTCGCAACGAGTTCACCAATGAAATATTTATCGATGAGTCATCAATCACCGTACTTCACAGGGGTTTCTGAGTTGTGTAATGAGTTTATCGATGCGGAAACGCTGAGGATGGCCTGAAAGACACACAAGGAGAGAAAGGGCATGCGTATATATATTTGTGTGTCTGTGTCTGTCTGGGTGGGTGTCAATTGCTGTCATTTGTTTTGGACGTTCTTTTTTTTTGTGTTTGCGAAAGAAAAGGGCCATACGACATAAGGGGACAAGTTGAACAAAACCAAATGTTGGAACGCAGAAAAGGAAGGAGACGATGATGTTGATGTCAACGATGTGCGTGACCCCCTGGCTCAGCCGGCCACCTCAACGTGGTGCCAGGGTCTAGTACTCTTTGCTAGAGAGGAAGCTAAGCGCCTGCTGTTCATGCTTCAAACCCGATGAGTAGTTGTTACTTAGTTTTACGGGCCGGAAGGGCAGATGTTGGAGCCATTCTATAATGGCTGCCCGCGGAGTAAGGTTATCCTTGCTACTGAATTCCTTCGTACGCTTACCAGAGCTGCACATTTGAGGTGTAGTTACTACGACTGGTAAGAGAAGAAAAAAAAAAAAAAAAAAAAAAAAAAAAAATGTGCGTGACCCTCTTTACCCCTGTACATTTATGATTCATGGAGCTGGCCGCGGGATCTGCTTGCCCGCCTCTAAATGCGGTGTCATCTTTTTAAGCTTCAGTCCTTTTTTTTTTTTTTTTATAAATTAATAAATTCATTTATTTCTTTCCTACCTGTCCTTTGGGTAGAAAGGTAACGGGCAAAAAAAACTGTTTATGACGATGGCACTTCTTCGGATTGCACGCCCGCCAGTTTCACGCCTTTTAGTTGCGGGGGCCCATTACCACACCGTGTCGGATGCACTGACAGAGGAGGAGCGGCGTCATTTGGAGCAGGAGCTGCCACCGCGGGAGCTTTTGAGGGAATTTCGAACCAAGGATCAACCACCGGATGGGGAAGGCGATGATGACGTGAAAGTACCGGGTGATTCCTTTGGTATCATGCGCAATCGTGTTGTCTTTTACAGACCGATTCCACGGGAGGTGCATGCTGGAGCTCTTGGGGAGTTGTTTCCCGAGGGGTGTCACCCGATGCGCTCCGTTAATGCCGCGACTTTGAGGCGCCTCTGCGGACGGTTTGGCGTGAGTCTTGAGGAGGCGGCCGCCGCAATGTTAGAGGCAGAGCTTGACATCAATGTTGCTGTAGATCTACTTGTGAGGCGCAAAGGCATTAAGGCACCTTTTGGAAGCTTTGGACTGGTTGGTTTTGAGAACTACGCACCAGAGACGTTTTGTATGGTGAACTTTATTCTTCCATCTTTTGAGGCTACACGTGATGATGAAGTGCTTGACGCAATCCATGAGTTGACGTTATCCGCTGCGGAACTGCCGTTGGATATAACAAAAGAAGAACTTTTAAATAAGTTTTTAAATCATTGGACGATTGAGGATGGAAGAAACTGCAGAGAAGTAATGAATTCTTTTGACATCACAGCCCAAAGCATCGTGATGCTACCGTACGGAGAGTACAGCGTCCAGGGTTTTTATATCTTTAACCCTGTCAAGGAAGACGTTCCAAACATTGGAACAGGGGCGGCAGCATGCTGTCTGGATCTTAGAACTGGCATACACAATCGCTTTCGGTTCCATGTGGAACGCGTTGCAGATTCCGTGAGTGAACATGTTCTCCGCGAGCTGGTGCATTATGGACAGAACATCCATCTTTTGCGACAGGCGTATTGGTTTAAACCGGATTATAGTGTGGAGGAGTACATTCGCTTTAAGGAGTCCTTGCTACAACCGAGTGCATCCATCTTTGAGATGCGCTACGCGGTGCTCACGGCGGCTCCTTACGGACTGGAAGGGTACCGTAACCTTGTAGAAATGGAGAAGCTGAAGGTGGCACAACACAAATACGAAAAACACTATGAGGATTTCATTTCACCCGGTAAGTGGCTGACAAGCGATAATGCCCAGCTTCAGACAGTTGCAGCAGGAAGTGGTGATGCACCTGGGTCCATTCTGCATATGCAAACAAATACTCCAAGCATTTCAAAGACGGCGATGGAGACGAGAACAGCACCGCTTCGTCATGTTCTTGAAAAGTCCATTCAGGCTCATGGTGATCGTGTTTTTGACCGCTTCTACCGCATGAACTATCATTAGACCCTTCACATGTTCATGCTATTATTATTATTATTATTATTATTTTGTTGTTTTTGTTTTTCCAATGTTAACTTTATGGGTTAAGTGCCCTTTTTTTGTTGTTGTGTGGTTGGTCGTGGAAGTTCTTCAAGGTGGGTGAGAGACGATCTTGGATCATGGCAATTGGATATCGTACGGGTAATTTTATCATTAATAGTTTTTATTTTTTAATTCTGATCTCGTACACACACTTTCTCACTCTTGCTTCCTCCATTTCACCCGCCTTTGTACGTGTTTTTGTGTCTACATGTATCTTTGCTTCACCTTGTCGTTGCGTTTTATTATTTTATTTTATTACTTGAAGCGGTTTTTGCGAAGGAGGGATGGGGTGCGTTTTGTCGAACCAAAAATTACTGCAGAATTCAAACCGGCAGTGTAATTCTATAGTGAGGGGAAAGCCGCGCGTCCAGACGGATCCCGTGTCGGACGCTGTCATTCATGACTCAAAGGGCAAGGTGATAAATGAATACGATGCCCTTGCCTTTTTTTCTGCTGCTGCTGCAAACAGCAATCTCGTAGCTCTCACGGACTATCGTGGGGTGCAGGTGTACGTGACAAACCTGGTGCTTAGCAAGGTGAACTCTATCTGCCGATGGGTTGACTCGATACTTGAGGTAAGGGAGCGTAATGGCGGGTACTTTATTGACCCGAAAAGTGAGGCGTCGTCCATGAGTCGCTGGGAAAACCAGACGGATGTTGAAGAATGCTCGGCGACAATGGTTCAAGAAGGCAACAGCTCCTTCCAGCACCGGCTTGATGTAAGCACGTGTGGTCACGGAGCGTCTACCACTTTGCGGCAGACTGAAAAATCACCATTTTCACCAAAGCAAGCGGAATACTCACCAGCGTCATCAAGAAATGTAGAAGGAACTCCGTCTGGAGAAAAACTGCATTATGCAGAGAAGCTCTGCATACCGGAGGGGCCGATGACGGTCGAAAAAATTTCTCCTTTAAATAAATTGCAAAATACACCTAAAATTGATGTTAAATGAGATAATTTTATTGTTGTTGTTATTACTGGCTGTATGAAGAAACAGATTTGGAGAATTGGCAAAGCGCGGGAGAAACTGTACTGAAGTTGCACTTTGCACCCAGTTTTTTTTTTTTTTTCTTTTTTTGTTATGCAAAACTTGAAACCGATATGTAAGGGAGTGAGGGATTTATCTCCTTAGTACATTAAGACGGGTGAGAGGGGAATTTTGTGAGGAACGGCAAGGCGGCTTTTTTTTGTTATTATTATTATATATACATATATATATATGTATATTGCTGCTTCTGCTTTTGAAGAGGCTTTAATATTTGTAGGGCATGACGTGGTTTCTTGGGGGTTTAAGTGAGCAGGCGTATCACTGTTCACTTGTAATGTTTGCCCGCTTTTTTTTTTTTTTTTTTAATTTTATTTTTGTTTTTGTATTGTCCTGTTTTTTTTTTTTTTTTTATCTTTCTCTCTACCCCCTCTTTCAGCGTTCCCATCACTTCTGTCTGTCTTTTGATTTTATGATTATTATGATTATTGCTTGTTGACGACTGTACGGGTTTTTGTGTATTTGCGGCTTATTTTCTCTGGTGGCCTGCGTGATTGCCGGCCTTTATTTGAGTGTTGCCTGAATGTGATGGACCTCTTTTTTTTTTTTTTTTTTTTTTTACTGCATAAATTAGTTCTGTGTATGTGCACGCAAGTCCGCCTCCCCCTTTCTCCCCTTTCTGCTCGCTGCGGGTTTTAAGACCTTGCGTGCGTCTGCCGTCCATGTCAAATACTCTCCACTTCTTCTTGCGGGCTGTTTTTTTTTTTTTTTTTTTTTTTTTTTTCAGAGTTTTGAGGCAGACTAGCAGCAACAAGAAAAAGACACAAACAGTAGTACATCCATACATACAGGTACACTTGTATTTATTTATTTACTCCATTTATTCACTCATCGGTCACCGCGAGTCAGCGAGAAGAAGTCTGAAAAGAAGAAAAGGAAGCAGATGAGTCGCACGGGATTTGACAAATACATTACAGTTTTTAGCCCCGAGGGGTCTCTATACCAGGTGGAGTACGCCTTTAAGGCCGTCACGTACGCGGGCCTGCTCACGGTAGCAATACGTTGCAAGGATGCCGTTTTGGTCTTTACGCAGCACAATGTGCCGGACCGACTGATGCGCCCCGATACCATTACTTCTCTCCACAACATCAATAAAGACATCGGGACGTGCATCACGGGACGGGCTCCAGACGGGAAGTCGTTGGTGCAAAAGGCCCGTCAGGAAGCATCTGAATACAAGTACCGCTACGGTTCCCCGATTCCCGTTAGCGTGCTCGCCAAGCGTGTGGCGGATATGGCGCAGGTGAGGACGCAGCACGCTGGGTTGCGGCTGATGGGAGTTGTCATGACATTTCTTGGGATGGAGCAGAATGACGCGGATGGTTCGTGGGTTCCGCAAATTTACTGCGTAGATCCGGCAGGGTGGTGCGGCAGTTACCACGCATGTGCCATTGGCAAAAAACAGATTGAGGCGAATGCATTCCTGGAGAAGAAGCAGAAAAATGCTCCGTTTCAAACACTCTCTCAAAAGGATGCCGCCATGATCGCTCTCGCAGCCCTTCAGAGTGCCCTTGGTGCCTCTCTAAAGGCGACCGATGTGGAGGTGGGACGTTGCAGCGTGGAGGATCACTGTTTTCGTCGGGTCCCCGATGAAGATGTGGAGGAATGGCTGACTGCACTTGCAGAGGCAGACTGATGTGGGATGTTTGTTTTGTTGCGAGACCCGGAGAGTGCACAGTGGACAGAGAGCGTAAAGACATCACGTGCACTTTGCGTTACTTGTAGAAGGAGCAGCAGAATTTTTTTTTTTTTTTTTTCTGTTGCGTTGTATCTTGTTTTTTTTTTTTTGGTGTTCCCTTTGAATGAAGAAGAAAGCACACACGCAGGGACACACCTCAGAAAAACAAGGAAAAAAAAATTTTTTTAGGCCAAAAACCGGAAGAAGAAGAAACGAGAAGGAATAAAAAAAAAAAAGAAAATGAAAAAGAAAGCAAAAACTGGGAGAGTACTGCATGGCCGATTTTACACCTCGCAGTACATGCCGGAACGCGACTGGATGCACCCATGTGTCCTTGAATATATGTGTACACGCACGCATCTCTCTTCTGTTTTTATTTATTAATTTTTTTGTTTTGTTTTGTTTTCTTGCCTTCTCTGCTGTTTGGCGTTATTGTAGTCTCTAAATAACACACACGTAAGGAGGTCCGGTGGGTTCCGCCAAACTATCAAACTTTCCGCTGCCGTTTCAAGATGTTGATGGAATGGCTTCGAGGGAAGTCTGAGGAAGTGTCCGCCGCGCCGGAAAAAGCAGTAAGGAGGAAGTTACTAGACGTGGACCCTGAGACCCCACTCGAGCCCTCACCTGCAGAGGCTGCCTCGCAACGCGAGGAGAAATTTCGAAGGAAGTTGGCCGCTAGCGCCAAGGAAGGCCCAACATCTCCGGCCAAATTGGTCAGCTATGAATCTATGTTTCGTGGTGCGCAGCGACTCTTGATGGAGGGCAATTTTGGAGAAATAAACGAAGGACTTACGCTGAATGTGGCTCGTAACGCACAAAACGTGATGATTTCCTCTAAGTGTGTCCTTCTTTCCCCTCAAATGTCACACTGGGAAGTGTCTTTTCAAATGAATGGTTTTTCCGATATTGTAGCGGCTTCATACAACACATTGAGTCGCTGGAGTCTAATGTACCAGCGTGTGAGCAGTACAGGGGCATTACTCCTTGCCCAATGTATGGCTCAGCGGCAACAAGGTATGACTCAGGGTACAGTGGTTGGTATGCTTCAGTACCCGTGGGTGCAGGGCGGCTGCACAGCGGTGCAGTACGTTAAGAATCAATCTTTTACACTGAGTCACGCTCAACGGATTATACGGGGGTTGCATGTGGGATCCAGTTTATCGTGGGATCCCATGACAAAAGGGACGTCTCTTTCTCACGGGTTCACTGCCGTAAACTCATTGAAGAAGGGATCTTTGTCTGGGGACTGGACTCCAAGTAAAGGCGAATGGAAGCTGGCAATCACAAAAAAAGACTGGGCTCACGACGCCGAGTTTGCGATGCAGCTTGACCACACCCAGAAGGATCAAGATATGACGAGCCAGCTGAGCTTTGGCTTGAAGAAGCAGTTTATCGGTGGGAGTTCGATGAGTGCTGTGCTTAGCGGGTTTTCCGTAGTAAAAGCAGCCGTGGGGTTGCCCTTTGGTGGTGAGCGCATTGGGTTGAATCAAATGCACTGCCGGTACAATGTCCATTACAACATCCGCTCCGGTGCGTTAAAGCATGGACTTGTCTTCACCGCGTAGCCCCGACATTTCTTTGCACCCCGCTATCAGACAGTAGCCGCAAATTTGTGAGTCACAGGAGAGAGAACAGTGCCCATGCGCTGGAGATTGGGTGGGACGAGGTGCCGTCCGCAGAACACTGCCCCCCCCCTGCATTCACATATGGAGGAGGAGCTTCTGTAACGCTAACAACAACAAAAAAAAAGAGGAGAAAAAAAAGTAACAACAAAAAAAAATTTTTTATTGGGAGGGAAATTCTCCTTTTAAAAAAGGTAATTAGGGGAGGGGGCAAAAACCAAAAACCAAAAAACAAAACAAAACATCATCAGGAGTGTCCCTGAGGGAGAATAATGGAGGGGATATTTTTATGTATTTATTTCTTCATACAAGCGCCCTGCTGTGAGGGTGGTGGGATTGTGAAGAAATGAGGAGGTGTGCCGGACTAAACAAGTTCCTTTCATTGGACGGGGTGCGGTGTTTTTTTTTTTTTTTAATAATTATAAATAGACGTCTGAATTACCGATAAGAAATTCGAATGGCTTTTTCCTTCTTACAACTTTTGTATTTGACTGTGGGAAAGGCGGAGAGAAGAAACAACTATGAGGATGGGGTGAGATGAAGGACCTTTTTTATTTTTCTCCCTTTTTGGGGGTTGTTTGTCTTTTTATTTTTTTGGTTGCTTCTCTTTTTCTCTTTCTTTCTCTTTCTTTCTGTCTCCTTAGTTATTTCCCTAACAGTACTTCCTATAGGGGTTTTCTGTTTATTTGTTTCTCATTGCAGCAATTCACACACACGGAGCAATGAACCGCAGGCATAGCGGTGGTGGGGACACCCACTACAAAATGTGCAAGAAGATTGCTCAGCTGACAAAAGTCATTTACCAACTGAATACGCAGAATGAAGACTACGATGCGAGGAATGCTGAGATGCGCCGGAGACACGAGGAGGAGCTGCGTACAGTCTGCAGCGAAGCAGAACTTCGTGTGGAGGGGTTGCGGAAGGCTTTTCGTGAGGAAGAGGAAAAACGCAATGGTGCGGTTGAGGCAATGAAGCGTGGGTACATGGTGGAGCTTCAGGAGGCAAAGGATGCATACGCACGGAAATCTGCCTCCATGGTGGATGAACTTTCTGCCAGCAAGAAAAGATTTGAGGAGGTGATCGCAGAGGTGAGGGGAAAGGCACTGGAGGAGGCAGCCAAGAAATCCGCGGCAAAAGAAGCGGAAACGGCGGCGTTGTGCGCGGCAAAGGACGAGGAAACAGCGAGGCTAAGAGCATCAAAGGAGCAGGAGATTTCAAACTTGGTACGGGAATATAACGAGCGGTACAAGGCGATGTTGGCTGAGCAAATGGATGCTAGAGACACATTGGAAGAAAAGCTGCAGCTGCTGCAGTCGCAGCTTGATGCTGCCGCCGCGGCCCATGCAGAGGAATTGCAAAAATGGGAGCAAAAATTGCATGATTCCAATAATGTTGCCACAAGTACGTCTGCGGAGTTGTCGCGGTGGAAGGAGGACTGTCGGTGTCGCGAAGCGGAGGTAAGCAGGCTTCAGCAGGAGTGTGACACGTTACATCGTCGTCTTGATGCCGAGAGTAATTCATTGGGTGTGTCGCGTGACGTTGAGGCGACACTGCGGCAGGACGCGGAACTGTTGAGGACGCATCTAAAGGAAGTGCAAGAGGAGCGTGACAAACTGGAGCGAGCACTGAGCGAGAAAACGACGGGGCTCACCAAGGCTTCTGCCGACATAACAGACTTAGAAAACCAAAAGAGTCTGCTGGAAACTCAACAAAGCCATCTTTTGCATGACCTCAATGATGCAGAGAAGGAAAACCAGCAGTTGTTGAGTCGGGTCGAAGCACTCGACCGTCGCGTGCTGGAGCTGGAGGAGGCGAAGAAGGCGGCGGAGCAAGAAATTGAGCGAAGAAATCGGGCGGAACGATTACTGGAGGAACGCTGTGACGAGTTAGGACAAAATGCCTCCGAACTTGTTAAGAAACATCAGGAAGAAATTAACGCGCTTCAAGCAAAACATGAAAATGCTCTTTTCGACATCCATTTGGCGTCGCAGAAGTCGAATGACGTGTTCGTGACCCAACTTCGGCGTGAAAAGGAGGAGCTGATTAGTCACCACACACAGGAGTTGCGACGGCAGCAGGAGCAGCACGATCAGCAAATAGAAAACCTGACACGTGAGCATGAAAAGGTTCTTTTGGATCTTCGTGGTCAGTTGTCAAGTGCTGATAGTGTCGGGGGAGACCTACGCGTCACCGTCGCGCAGCTGCGGGAAACCGTTGTCAAACTCGAAGAGGAGTTAAATGCCGCAAAGAATGAAATTCGGGTGGTTGTCAAACAGAAAAATGAATTGGCAGCGAAATGTGAGGCAATGAGGGGTGACCATGCGCGGCGAATAGCGGAGATGGAGGCACGTATGAACGCCAGTATGAATGCCGAGCGGGAAGTGCAAATTGGAAAGAGAGATGCGCTTGAGGCGGAGATTGCTTCCCTTCGCAATAAGCTCCAGGCCGATGCGGAATCGAGCGAACGGAACTGGGAAAGCAAAATTAGGGCACAAGCAGAAGAGTACGAGAGCCGTTTGCGACAACTTCGTGAAGAGCATAATAACAGGCTGCGTCATCTTACGGAGTTGAACAATTCAGCCAACGCACAACTAGAGGCGAGACACCAAGAGCAGATTCGCAACCTCATGGAGGCGGCTAAGCTACAAAAGGAGGCAGAACGTAAAGAATCGCATAGCGAGAGAAAAGAGTTTGCTAAGCAGTTGCAGCGAAGTGAGGGGGAACTGCAGCGGGCGAAGGATCAACTGGACGCTATGCGGCAAAGCGCAAAGGAGCATGCAACTCGATTCTATGATGAGATACAGTCACAGAGGCAGTACATTGCAAAGTTTACCGCCGATTATGAACTCCTACAAGAGGAGCTCCAAAAGTCCAATGATGAGCTTCATGGCTTGCGTGAGGAGTATGCCCAGCTTGAGAAGGAGATGCGTCTGTGGAAGGGCCGTGAGTGTGACGCTCGTCAGGCGTTGGAGCGGCTGGAAGAGGCGTCATCCCGATCGATGAAGGAGGTGGAAGCGCTGCACCGAGATTATGTCTCGAGTATGGAGGAGAAGTTTTTGCAGAAGACGCAGGCCGCTTTGGCTGAGCTCCGTGCCAGTTTGACAGCAGAACGTAATGCAGTGCAACTGCGAGCCGATGGAGTGATCGCGGCCGCGCGGCAGAAGTGCGCCGACCTCCAGGAGGAGGTGAAGAGTCTAAACCTCAAGCTAGACGCATCTGTGCACGATATTCGGAAACGCACGGAGGAGCTCGAACGGGAGAAAAGTAGCAAGGAGGCGGCGCATCGTGAGTTTACCGCCACGTTGGAGGCGATGCGGCGCGATTTTGAAGATGAAAAGGAGAGCCGGCGCCGCGACACGGAGAATCAGCTGAAAGAAATATCAACTAACCACAAGACGATCATTGATGATCTCATGGGGCAACACGATGAGGAGCGAACGACACAAAACGATGTCATACGGAAGTTGCAGGCGGCACTCGATGAACTGCGGTATCGTTATGAGTACCGCGAGTCAAGAGAAGAAGATGTCGCGATGATTAACCGTCTTATGAGGGAAATAAAGCAGAAGGATCAGGCGCTGGAAAAAGCGATACACGATATAAAGATGTATAAACTGGAGCTTATCAATCGCGAGGAGAATTATAACAAGGTCTTTGGACGACGGCCGCTTGTCGAGCCCGGCTCTCCAGCTGACAAGGCACCGCGGCTGCAGCAGGGGATGCGAGAAAACCGAGATCGACCAGAAAGGCGAGCAACGCAGCAGTAACAAATCTCTGTTTAAAAATTGATTCAAGCACCTACGCGTCATATTTATCAAGACATTTGGACCTTTTTTTTTTTTTTCTTTCTACTTTTTTTTTGTTTATTGTTGTTGTATTTATAATTACTTTGGTTCTTGCCTGTTTGCATGTGTGATTTGGCTGCTCTTGGCTTCAGGACCTCTCACGCCTTTCTAGTGGGAGTTTGGGTTTTAATTCCTTTTTATTGTTTTCCTCGATTTTTGCACTTACGCGTGTAAAAGTAAGGCAATAGGCTAAATTAAACATTATTAGGAAAACCACCCGCAACAAGAGCGAGGAGAGTGACGGAAAGAGTGAATCATGTCTACAGTAGAGGAACTGAGGCAATCAGGGAATGCCGCGTTCTCGGCTGGGCGATATCAGGAGGCATTGGCGTTTTACGAACAAGCCCTTGCATTGGATGCGGAGAATGTTGATCTCCTTAACAATGCCGCGGCAGCCAGTCACTCACTGAAAAAATATGACGACGCCATCGCCTACGCGAGACGGTCTTTGAGCGTCCGTGACAACTTTAAGGCGCACACACGAGTAGGTGCGGCACTATGGGCTCTGAACCGACTGCCCGAGGCCGCCATGGAGTATGAGCGGGCGGCAGTATTGTCGCCTGGTAATCCAAGTCTCGAAGAGAGCCGGCAGACACTGCTAAGGCTGCTGCAACAGTCTTTTGGCAGCGGTGGGGTTGTACCTCCGCTCTGCTCAACCGGGAAACTGGGAGTGTGCCTCGATGTTGTCGTTGTGACACTTGCACTGCTGACGATGTTCTTTTTATTTTTTATGCCCGCGCTAGCCAAGAAGACGTGGAATTTTTTGATGACTGCAGCCGTCGTGCAGCAAGCCATGATAGCGCGCAAGCAAGGCCTCCTTAAGGCCTCTAAAGAAGTTCTTTTGAAATGGAGTGATCACCGTTGCACACTAGAGTTATTGCTCTGCGGCATTGCATTAATCGGTGCCGTGGAGCCCCAGATGCTGTTGGTGAGTGCACTGGGTATATACAGTGCGGTAAGTCTTGCTTCGAATCTACCGACGTTATCGAACATTTCACCATTCCTGCATCGTCTCTGTGCACCGTATTTGCAGAGGGTTTTAGCCAATCAATCCATGGTTGCAAACTATGCTGCAACCCTGGAGGCTATCATGCTGTTCACCGTCATGTTTTCGGGTGGGGCTATTTTCACTCTTGTCTACATTCAGTACGTGAAGAATCTGTATCTCATTGACAACAACACAAGGGTTGCCTTCACAGGTATTCGAATGAATCTTTCACGTCTTACCCGTCATCCGTACATGCCTCTTTTTGTAGACACCTATATGCAGAAGTTTTGTGAACTCATTTACACGATCGCCCAACGGGGCATTTGAGGGAAGAAAAAAAAAAAAAAAGGAAAAATTTTGTTTTTAGTAAAAATTTTTTTTTTACTCTTATATTTATATATTTTTAAAATTAAATGCATCTAATGAAATTGAGAAATGTGAATGGCGTGTGTAAGCATTTTCATTTTACCCCTCGCTTCACCTTTTTTTTTTTTTTCTCCCATACATATTATATGTATGTGGGGCAAAAAGGTTGAGTTTACGTGCATTATTTGTGCTTTTTAAAATCTGGACATTTGAATATTTTGTTGTTGTTGTTGTTGTTGTTGTTTCCTCTATTTGTGTTTCTTTGGCGTGCTGCGCAGTTTGAGAGCACATTGCATACAGCACGCAAACAGAGCCGTGGCCAAAACATACGGCGAAAAAGAGAAGATGCAGCACGCAGGCACACGTTCAAACAAGAGTGACACCGCAAAGGATGCCGCACACTGCTCGGATACGACGTCATTTCAGGAAGATGCGGCCCACGTGATCATGGAGGTTGATCGCCTTACAGAGCAAGGCGTTGCCACCGCAGACATTGCGAAATTGCGGCAGGCAGGCATTTTTACAGTTGCGGGGATCCACATGCAGTGCCGAAAAGACTTGGCGCTTATCAAAGGCCTTTCGGACGCCAAAGTGGAAAAAATCATTGAGGCGGCACGAAAGCTCTTCGACTGTGGGTTTACGAATGGGGTCACGTACCTGCAGCAGCGTGGCAAGGTGACACGCATGACAACTGGAAGTACTGCTCTCGATCAATTATTAGGGGGAGGTATTGAGAGTATGTCAATTACAGAGGCCTTTGGTGAATTTCGCACGGGAAAAACACAGATTGCACACACGCTCTGCGTGACCTGTCAATTGCCCACTTCCATGGGCGGGGGCAATGGGAAGGTGATATATGTGGACACAGAATCCACTTTCCGTCCCGAACGCATTAAGCCTATTGCAGCTCGATTTGGTCTTGATGCGGACGCAGTACTTAATAACATTCTTGTGGCACGGGCGTACACACATGAGCATCAGATGCATTTGCTCTCCATGGTGGCCGCAAAGATGGCAGAGGATCAGTTTGGCTTACTTGTGGTGGACAGCATTACTGCTCTGTTTCGGGTTGACTTTTCAGGTCGAGGTGAGCTGGCGGAACGACAGCAGAAGCTCGCAAAAATGATGAGTCATTTGATAAAACTAGCTGAAGAGTTCAATGTGGCGGTGTACATTACAAATCAGGTTGTGGCAGACCCTGGTGGTGCATCGATGTTTGTTGCCGATCCGAAAAAGCCAGTCGGTGGGCACATTCTTGCACACGCCTCCACGACACGATTGTCGCTCCGCAAGGGCCGAGGCGATCAGCGTGTTTGCAAGATCTATGACAGTCCGTCCCTGCCGGAGGTGGAGTGTGTCTTCAGTATCTCCGAACAGGGCATCGTTGATGCACGTGAGTAGTTTGGAGTCAGCACCAAGATTATTATTATTATTATTATTTATTTATTTTTTTCTTTCAGAATACCCTTACCTTTTATTTCTTTTTTTTTTTTTTTTTCTATTGCCACTTCAAAGTGCAAAACTTGTTTTTTGAACAGATTTTTTTGTTTTCAAATATGAATACGCACGCAGCCATCATTTTCTTTATGTGTATTTGGGTATTTTTTTAAATTATTATTACTTATTATTTATTGGGATAGGGAGAAATGAATAAAAAGGAAGGGTAGGTGGGTGAATCTTCCTTTTTATTTGTTATTGTTGTCTGTATGTTTGTTTTTTATTTTTTTATGAAGGGAATTTATTTCCTGCTGGTTATTATGTGCCTTTGGCCTTCGGATTGGCTGGGTTGGGTTGCCATTGTTTATATTGCGTACATCTGCATATATTATTATTACTATTATTATTGTTATTATTATTATTATTTTTTTTTTTTTGTGTGTGTGTTTGCAACCAAGTGAGTGTGGGCGACTGTTCTCGTCTTGGAGTAGCGGCTTCCACCAGCAGCAACGAGGCAGTGGGATATATAAGGAGACATCTCTACTCCCCGGGGCGATGCCGCTTTCTATTCCAAAGGCGATTGAGACCGTGAGGCGTTACGTTGCCGACCAGCGCGATGACGCAACTGGCTCCGTAGGGAATACTACATGCTTGCACTCATCAGCCGTTGAGGTGTGCGAAGACCCGCAGCGACGGATACTTCCGGCATTTCGGGAAACGTGGAGGGGCGGGCCGAATATCATCGCATCAAACGACGGCTCGTACTTTGTCGCCGCGGATTGTCTCTGGCACGACCGCAACCGTATTTTGGCGGAGGAAATAAAAGATTATGCCAGTCTAAAAGACGCCCCATGGGCTGGGGGAAAGTTGGCGTCTACGCTTTCAAGTTGTGCTCGGTGCAAAATTGACGCCACGTCCGCCATTTTCTCCAATTGGCCGAGGGAACGAGTCACTGAAAACCTGGTGAAACAATCCGTTCTGGACAGGGCAAAACTATACCGTAGTTGCCGGATGAATTATGTTCATGGGGCATTGGGTCTGCAGGAGAGCCCATACGGTCACGCTGGCGAGGTTTACGGCGACATCCACCAGAAACTGTCTCGGGCTCGCGCTCGGGCAATTTGCCCCGTCAAACGACAGGCAAAACACACGGAAGACAGTCTCTTTGGTAGCATCCCGCTGCGCCAGACTTTGTGTGTTCGCCGCAAGGGCGGGGCTGAACCAAAGGACCATTTATTTGGTTCCCTGCACGTGGAAGAAAAAAAATATTTATAATGTAAACAAAATTTTCCTGCATTTTTGCTTTTTTTTTTCTATTCTCCGTTAATGTGATTGAGTGCCATCGAGACAGAGGAGGGAAGTCGAAAAGGAAAAGCACCCCTGTGAGGTTTTGTATTTTGTCATACTCCCATCATCATTGTTATCTTTTTTTTTTTTTTTTGTTGTTGTTGGTTTTATTTTATTTTTGTTTCTTTTTGTTTTTATCTCCCCGCTCATTGCATGCTTTCTTACACGCTTTAATAATGAGGAGAGGGTGGAATTTTCTCCCCGTGTATAAAAGACTGTCAATGCAGTAGCACCGGCAGTCAATGCGCCAAACAAGCGTCAAGTTGCTGCATTCCAAGCGGCTTGAGATAAAGCAACGGATGCTGCAGCGTAACGAGGCACGAAGAAGTCAGTTGCGGCATGCAGAGCTAGACAGTTGCCGTGCACAGTCGACTGAAGGTGGCGATCCAGAAAAGGACGCCTACGAATTTATTGGCAGAGAATTTCATTGCGATGTGGGCGATCCCGCCGTGTTGGACCTCCTTCTTAGTATTGAGGAGGAGATCAGGAACGAACAGTTGGTGTCGTTGTACGAAGAGAGTCAAAATGAAGACTGGGAAAAGTACTTCCAACACCTTGCTCGACCATGAGAATTGTGCTTTGCGTATACATTTTATTACTCTGATGGGGACAAAAAACACACATATGCGAAGGAAAGTAATCCAACACACTCACTCACAAATACACACACACACATACATCGAGACCGGGGATAAAAATAAAGACAATGGAAATTAAACGAAGGTAGTGGCGATGAGGGGCAAAATGGCTTTTGTTTCGCTACGGATTTCCTTTTTCTCTCTGTGTGCGTGCGCTTGGATTTTGCTTAATTGTTGAGATACGGGTTCTCTTGACATAGCCTCATTTGTCTCTTTTATTTTTCTTGAAGGTATTAAAAAGTTTATACTTTATTTTTTTACTTTTTATTTTTTCAATTTCTTGCTTCTTTTTATTGCTGTTGTTGTGTCGGGTGGGTGTGACCACCAGACACGGGGTGAGGAGTTCATTTTTTGCAACCCGTAGGTACTGACATTTGGACCGTCCTATACATACATCTATATAATATATATATATATATGACGGGTGAGGCCTTGGTGGGGGAGAAGCTTCTGCAGAAGCTTCGTCCCTTTTTTCTCGACTGCTGCAAGCCCCCACAATGCCTAACCCCGGCATCGTCGACGGAGTCTCTTACGACGCGCTCTCTTTGGACGCAAGAGATCGACTGCATGCAGCTCCTTGCCGTGTTTCCAGAACTGGGTGATCTTCTTTTTTGTCAAACAATGACGCTAATAGACGCCCTACGGCAAGTGTGTGCGGAGATGTGCAAAAGCGCTGGTCGGTCCCTCAATCCGGCTGACCTTTCACCGAGGCTAACGCATCTGCCCACGGTGGGCGCGCCGCCACCGTCCATGCCATCCTCCCGCGGGGTGCTTGTCAGTCTCTGTGGAACAATAGTGCGGATGAATGCCAAGCGAGTGGTGCCATTTGTTCATAAACTGAAATGTGCTAAGTGTGGAGAGACAGTTGAGATGGCGTCCAGTCCCTTTGATCGTGGCTCAAAGCCAAAAGGGCGTTGTGGACGTAAGGAGTGTGGGGGCGGGGAACTTAAACCAGTTGGCCAGGTTTGGATGGATTACGCGGAGTGTCGCCTGCAGCAGCGCTCCAGTCTCTCGGGTCGGCTTCCTCGCACACTCCTTGTAAACCTTGAAGATGAACTGACGATGAAGTGCACTGTGGGTCAGTTTGTCGAGGTAATTGGCATCTCATTTCCCAAATGGCGTGCCTTGTACCCCAACAGTCGGCCGATTATTGAACCCACTGTATGGGCCCTTAACATCAATTCGGTGGAATCCTACCGTGAGGGGGGTTCTGGCAGCATGGCCGCAGTACCACGGCGTAAAGCGGTTGGTTCGATGGAAGGATCGGCTTTCAGTCCCGAATCTTTTTTTTATTCCTTCTGCAAAGATAAACTTCGTAGGAGTACTGCATTGGTAACTTCTGTGTGCCCACATCTTTTTGGGTTGTTTGCCCCACGCATGGCTTTACTTCTTGCGGTAGTAGGAGGGACGTCCACAACTGGTAAGGCACGTATGCACATACGTTCTACAATTCATTGTCTTCTTGTGGGGGATCCTTCAACCGGGAAATCTCAGCTGCTACGATTTGCCGCCCTGATTGCGCCGCGGAGCACCTCCACCACCGGGACTGGGAGCACCTCTGCTGGCTTGACAGTGGCGGCGGCAAAGGAAAACGGCGAATGGGTTTTGGAGCCAGGTGCCTTGGTACTTAGTGACGGTGGCATTTGTGTTATTGACGAACTAAGAACCGTATCTTCGGCCGATAGGGCTTCTCTGCATGAGGCCATGGAACAACAAACAATTTCAGTGGCCAAGGCAGGGATGGTGACAAAACTTAGGACGTCTTGTTCGGTCATTTCAGCGTGTAATCCGCCTCCGACACGGCATGGAGGAACGGAAATTGGTGTCGGTGGTCCGTTGCTCAGTCGTTTTGATTTTATTTTCTTGCTCTGGGATAAGCCTTCGATGGAGGTGGACAGTCGTGTTGCCACTCACATTCTCACCTGCTCTCAGGCCGGAAAGCAACCATCATCTGTTCTTTCACAGGAGGATATCAGTCGTTATTTGCGGTGGGTACATTCTCACTATGCCCAGAACGATGGTCCTTTGCTTTCCGATCAGGCAGCTGAACTTATAAGGACGTACTACGATCTGCAAAATCGGCGAGGGGCGTCACCCCTTCTTGCTGATTGCGTGCCAGTCACCATACGTCTACTGGAGTCCCTTGTGCGAATCACGCAGGCACATGCAAAATTGCATCTGGAAAATGTGTGTACAGAAGAAGATGCGGCGTTAGCGATATTCCTTATGGAACAAAGCGCCCACAGCTTGAAGTGTCCGTTGGAATCCCTTGGCCCAGATGTGTACACGAACTCCAAGTCACTGGAAGAGTGTTTTCTCGATCCAACTCCGGAGGGTGTACAGAGGCAACGTGCTGTGCTTCGGGCAATCGTGGATGTTTTTTCAAATTGCGGCAACGCCCATCACTCCTCCGATGACACAGCGACTGCAACATGGTTGGATAAAATGAAGTTCCCTTCAGAGGAGACGTCTTTACCTTCGCAGCGGTGTGGCAAGCGTGGAAGGGAAGTATCATTACCAAGCGATGCTGTTTTGCGTAGCGCACGGCGATTAGAAGCAGAGATATCTTCCCCGTTTTCGAGTGTGCAAACAGTGGTTCAGTACACGCCCAGTTCAATGTCGCAAACACCCATTAAGAAGAGTTGCAGACGTCGTGAAGTGGATGAAATCATGAAAAGTCTTGTGTTTCGTTCGTGACGAACTCCGAGCACTTTTTTCCCAGCGTCCCATTTTGAAATGATGTGCAGAGCCGGAGAGTGATTTCTCTGCGTAAGTGTGTGTGTGTATGTGTGTGTGTTTGTTTCTTTGGATTTTATTTATTTGCTTTTTTCCTTATTACTTTTTTCTTTATTTTATTTTGGTTCATTTTTTTATGGAATAGCCGATTATCATCGCAAATGCCGAACAACGACAGCCACGACGCTCAGTTGCTGCGGCACTATGCACAATTTTTTCCAAATGTGCTCTTTACATCGGAAGAGGAGATGGAGAAGTACTGCCAGGATGCCAGGCCTGATGCAGTCAAGAAGGTTCTTGACCTTCCGGAGGGGGAAGAGGTACCTGAGGATGCCATGAATGATCCCCGTGCACATTTGTACATTTTGAAACATATTGTGGGACGTAACGCAACAACGGCGGCGTTTGTTGCTCTTCGAGGGTCTGATAAACAAAAGGTAGTAGCAAAGTTTATCATGTTGAATGACGAGAAGCAGGCGGCATACGCGCGGAGCGAAGTTCATTGCTTGGCTGCCTGTGATCACTTTGGAATTGTCAAGCACTACGATGACCTGAAATCTGAAGACAAACTGCTATTAATCATGGAATACGGAAGTGGTGGTGATCTCAATAAGCAAATCAAGCAGCGCCTTAAGGAGCGGCTGCCATTTAAGGAGCATGAAGCTGGTCTTTTATTCTACCAAATTGTACTGGCATTGGACGAGGTGCACAGCAGGAAAATGATGCATCGAGATTTGAAAAGTGCCAATATATTTTTGATGCCAACGGGTATTATCAAGCTGGGTGACTTTGGCTTTTCCAAGCAGTATACGGATTCTGTTTCTCTAGACGTTGGCTCATCTTTTTGTGGGACCCCGTACTATCTTGCACCGGAACTTTGGGAGAGAAAAAGGTACAGCAAGAAGGCTGACATGTGGTCACTTGGTGTTATTCTGTATGAGCTTTTGACGTTGCACCGTCCGTTCAAAGGTCCTTCCCAACGTGAAATTATGCAGCAAGTGCTGTATGGTAACTATGATCCTTTTCCGTGTGGCGTATCGGATGGAATGAAGGCGGTTATGGAGCCTTTGCTTTCAAAGGATCCTGCGTTACGCCCGACCACCACACAGTTATTACACACAGAACTTATGAAATATGTGGCCAATATATTTGAAGAGATTGTGAGAAACTCCGAGGTCATTGAGAAGCACGACAAGGAGCGCATCCTCAGGCAACTTGCAGAGTCACGGGCAAAAGCGCCCCCACCAAATTCCATTCAAGCTGGTGCTGTAAGTAACGACGTGGTGCGTGAGGGATATCTCCTTAAGTACAGTTCAGATATGAAGTGGAAAAAACGATACTTTTCCATTAAGAATGGGCAACTTCGTATTTCTCTCACGGACAACCCCGAAAAAGACGGTGTCTCCCCAAAGTCTGCCAGCCTGGAGACCGTTAATGATGTATTCCCGGTGCCAGAGGCCTACTGCCGCTCCAACCCGCATCAGCTGGTTATTTGGTTTACCAATGGTCAGAAGATCATTGCCATGGCAAAGTCCGCAGAGGAGCGTGATCAGTGGATCTCTGACTTCCAAAGAGCATGCGGTATGTAAATTTGCGAGGTAAAGCTCTGATGCTGTTTTTTTTTCTTTTTTTTTTTTTTTTTTTTTTTCTGTTGTCACCATCATTTCCGCCATTATTTTTATTGTTATTTTACCTTTTTTACTTTTTTTTTTTTTTTTCCAGGTTGTTTTCGGTTTTTTTTGCTTCTCTGCTGAATGACGGTGGGAGCGATGGGGGGGCAACCCTCTTGTCGCTGACGCCGCTCTTTGGTATTTTGTGATTACTACCGGAGGCCTCGTTGCGGTCACTGTAGCCCCCATTTTTCGTTCATTCATGCTGCCCTTCTCTGTGCTTTAGTTTTCGGTCGCGCTGCGCATATTTCTTGGGATGCACGCTCCTATCCGACTGCAGCGCATCTGCGTGGGGTGGGAAACACAAGTGGAGGGGGGAGGAACAGAAAGAGAGAAAGAAAAATGAAACAAGGAGCAAATGAACTGGCGGGGAAAGCGCTCTGCTTATATATATGCATATATACACATTCCTGTAGATATATACGAATACATATATTTATTTATTTATATGTATGTATGTAGTTATATGCGCTTTTTCTTTTTTTCTTTTTTTATGGATGTTTACACTAAAATTAATGCTTCTTGCCAAGTAAGAGTTGCTTCTCGCGCGTTTTTTTTTTCTTTTGGCTTCAGCAAATAGGATTGTTTTCCTCCTTTGTTGGCTTGTGAATTCCGGTGATGTGAAGAAGGAGAGGAATATAGGGATGACAACAGTTTTCTTTTTTTTTTTTTTTTTTCTTTTTTTTTCTTTTTTGGCGCGTTTGCGGGGCGGTGGGGTGGGAACTTCCAGATGTAAATACGCAGCGCATAATAAATAAATATATATGGAGAGATATACACTGCAATATATATATATATATATATATATATATATATATATATATTCATATTTATAAACTTATATTTATATTTGTGTACGAAAAGGAATAACGGGTGCGAGTTTTAGTGTTGTTATTTTATTTTTATTGGAGATGCTGGTATTATTACTATTATTATTATTATTATTTCTCTTTATGCGTGAAGTGCCGACGCCTTTATGTGCTGAGAGGCGCACGGATTTGGGACTAAGTTGACAAAATAGGATGCGCGTATATAATTTGTTTTTATTCCTGTGTTGTTGCCTGCGTATTGGCTGTCATTCTTATTGATTGGGTGCTTGCGGCACCTTTGCGTACCTCCGTTGCTGTTGGCCCTTTATTATATTTCCTTTTGCTGGTTTTTTTTTTTTTTTTGCGTGTGTGTGTGTGGTTGTTTGTGTGATTTCTTTGCTTTTAGAGGGAAACGAGGGTTAGGCCGTGCTGAGACGAACGTGCGTGTGTGTGTGTGTTTTTTTTTCTTTGTTCTTGGAAATGGCAGGCAAGATTCTCCCGCCCCCGCACAATCTTCCCACCTTCTACCCGCAGTCTCTTGGATTCCTGCAGCGTGACGGACGTGACGACATGGACGTCATGACTGCCGACACGACGTACATTCTTCACCGCCATCAACGTCTGGTTGTGGGCAAGTTTGTGCCGGACATAAACAACGAGGATCCATCCAACCCAAAGTATGTCGTGCAAGCCACAGGGCGATTGAGGCCTTCGCGAATGCCCCCATTGTCCTGTTCTCTGAACGGCAATAGATTATCTAATGCCTCGTCGGTGGAAGAGACATCCTCGGACACCACAATTCGTGAGGAAGGAGCTTGCACACATAGGGTGGCAACAGAGAAGATACATTATACCGTAGTAGAACCCTTGTACCCGTTCTCGGCCCCCAGCCTCTTTTTCCCCATACGCCACAGCAGCCGCGCAGGAGGAAAGGCCGGCGATATTCGAAGTCCCCGTCAGATAAACCTCGCGTATCATGGTCGTGACCGGCCTCATTATAAATTGGAGGCTCTTACCGTACAAAAAAATAACCTTAATCGAATGTGTTTGTACAAGCTTGGTCCTGGTGCTGTGGCATTCAAGGTAGTTATAGATGCCTTTGAGGCGGCGGGTATGAGGTACACGCCGTCGAATGAGCTATTTAATGTCATATGGGCAAAACGGGCAACCAATTACACATTGTCTCATCTTGGTCCTTACCAGAAAGTAAATCATTTCCCAGGAACATGGGGCATTGGTCGAAAAGACAGTTTAGCTACGAATGTTGATAAAATGCAACGGTATTTTGGAGTCGATGCCTTTAATATTGTTCCCAAATCATTTTTAATCCCCAGGCAGTGGAAAGAACTTGAGGAATACGTAAAACGGCAACCCGATACCAGTGAGGATCCGCTTATTTTGATAGTGAAACCCAGTGCTTCTAGCTGTGGACGTGGTATCCATCTTTTTCGGGGAATGCCCCCCATGCCGACAGGGACAAAACAATTGGTGTGCCAACGCTACCTGGGGAATCCCATGCTTATATATGGAAGAAAGTTTGACCTCCGACTGTACTGCGTCGTGACTGCCTTTGATCCGCTCCGTATTTTTCTTTTTGATGAGGGTTTGGTGCGATTTGCCGCGCAAAAGTACCCTGGAATGGACAAGGACTTGGAGAATATTCATGTTCACTTGACCAACTATTCTGTGAACAAGACGGCCGAGCTAAACCGAGCAAGCCGTGGCAAAGAGTATCACTCGGATGATCCTCTGGATATAAAGTGGTGTCTATCCGATTTAAGAGACTTCTTAATAAAAAATAATAGGGACGGAGGGCTTGCATGGGAAAGAATCATACGTGGCTGTGAAGATGTTATTATTAAGACCTTTCTTAGCATTGAACATGATGTTGTCCAAAGAATTCGCAAGGAATGCAGCGATAAAACAGGACGAGGATGTTTTGAGCTGTACGGCCTAGATTTAATGGTAGATGACCAATGCAATGTGCGACTTATTGAGGTGAACATTATGCCCTCGTTGGCCACGGGAACACCCCTTGATAAGGCTGTCAAGTCCCGCATGTTGGCTCACTTACTGACTCTTATCCGGGTGATCCCACATCAACGCAACGCTACTGGGCACACGCCACCAAACTTTGGAGAGCCGTCTTCAGATCGCCACGACATTTGCTATCGATTTGGTCGGCATCCGCACGGGGATGCAGAGCTGGTTAGAAAGCCTTTGCTTTCCCGGTTTAACGATCCTAGGGACTCCGACTCTGTTCTCTCCCCAAGTGAATATCTTCTCTTGGTTGAGGCGGAGGAGGAATTGGCATGCGCTGGGGGGTTCCGCCGAATTTTTCCCACAGCGGAGAATGTCCTTACATATTTGCCCTACTTTACTCATGGTGTTCTCCGAAATAATTATCTTCTTGCCTCAGCTGTCAGAATGCAAGCAAAGGCAAGGAATTGAAGGAGCACTCCGGGCACTTATTCGCGTCTTTGACTGAAAAAGATAAATAAGCGTAGAACAGAAAAAGAAAAATAAGATGGACCTTATAAAAATCAATGGAAATCACAGGAATTAGAAAAGAAGCAGGGGCAATAATAATAATAATAATAATATAAAAAAGACGGAACAGACTTTTTTATCATGTAGACGGAAATGAAAGGAGAAGCAAATTGCGGGACATGTTTTTGGCAATTATTTGAATCCTGTAAGTGGAGGAGCCATGCCTCGTGATATCTATATCTATCTATCTATCTATCTGTATATATATACTTCCCTCGTATTAATTTTGAAGTAGAGTTGTGTATTTGTGTATATGGGGGAGAGATGGAAGAAGAAGAGGAAGAAAAAAGTGAGGAATTTTGTTTGGTCTTCTAAATGAAGGCTGCTGCTGCTGCTGTTTTTTTTTTTTTTTTTTTTTTTTGTGTGTGTGTGTGTGTTTTGTGTTTTTTGTTTGTTCTTATGTTTTTCTATCAGTTTTTTTCACTCGGCTCCACGCAGGTGTGGAACTGGTCTCCAGCGTGATTGGATGATGTTTCGCAAACTCCGTGTCCGTGTAGATATTTATTTGAATATTTTCCCTTATTTTCTTTGGTTGGTGGTGGGCGGGTGAAGAAGAGCCTCCGTAGGTTGTCAACATATTATTATTATTATTATTATTGTTAAAGACTGGGCGAAGCAGCATCCGCACCCTTTCAAGTTTTCCCTCTCATCAACACACCGATGTATGTGCTTTTTCTACGTGATGATGAGAAATTGTTTTGTTGTTGTTTTTTTTGCAGACCTTTTTTTTTTTTTTTTTTTTCCTTATGGACTTGTATGCATCCGTTTATTTATTTATTTATTTTATTATTATTATTATTATTATTTTTTTTTTTTTTTTGCTTCTTTTCTTAAATTATTATTCTTTATTTAGTTTTAATTTTTAACTAGTGTGCCCGAGTCTGCATCCTGCCACGGTGGAAGATCTTCTTGTTTGCTTTTTCTCCCCCGTTGTGTGCGGGCGCAGCAAAATAACAACTCATCGATATTATACATTTTTATGCTCGACTACTTCGTCGCCATTGGAGTTGCCCTTCTAGGGCTGCTGGTGGTGTACTTTATGTTCCACAGCATCAAAAAGTCGGAGCTTGTTGCGTTTAATGCTTCAAAAGAACGCAAGTCACGTCCGCGCAAGACCCCGAAGGTGCCTCGCCGTGACGACACCCGACTTGACCGCGAGATGGAGGCGCTTATTGCCCAGGAGGTCGCACACCACACCACATCCATGCGAGCCGACATTCGTGTCGTTCAACCGGTGCTGCTTGAGAACATGCAGCGTAAGGTGGCAGCTGAGAAGAACAAAGCGGCGTCAATGAAATACTCTTCCGCGGCCGCCGAGCAGGCGCTGATTGACAAGGAGATGGGATTCCAGAAGGTGGTGAATCAATCGAAGCCACGGAAGAACCCGTCGCCACCGCCGCAGCAGCGACCACAACAGGCGAACACGGATGAGGAGTTGAGCCGTAAACTCGGTCAGTTCTTTAGCAACAACCGAAAGGATAAGAAGGGATTAAAGTTCAACTTGAAGGAGGAGCAGACGGCAAATACCAAAGGTAATGGGGTCCACGTTGTTGTGAAGAAAGATATTAGTAATGCCCGTACATGGTCATTGGTAGCTTAATGAGTGCGTGCAAATAAGTAACCGAAAATTTGGAGGAAAAAGGAAAAGGAGGAAAGAAAAAAAGAGAGAAGCTCCATGTGCAAGAAGAAAAGAAAAATAAAATAAAATAAAGGGATGTTCAGTAAAAAATTGCATCAAGAAAAGAAATAATTTAATGTTCGTTAAATTCCGTTCCAAGAAATGATGGGTAAAAGGAATAGAAAGGGGGTATGTACATACACATGTATATATATATATATATACCTATGAGGAAAGGAGAAATTGCCTCCCCCCCTTCCTTTGCTCTTATTATTGTGTGCACATCTCTTGTAATGTATCTCTTTGTATGGGTTTTAGGGAGTTGATTTCTCAGCACACATTTTTTTCCCTCTTTATCCTTTTCTGCTTTTTTTTTTTTTTTTCTTTTCTCCCTGGTGGTGTGGGGGATTATTACTAATAAAAAGAAACACAAACACACACACACACACAAAAAAAAAAAAAAAAAGGGAAGGAATTGACGATGAGGAAGAAGGGGAATAATTATTCTTTCCAAAGGTCTATGGAAATGAATACGTAATAAAACAACAACAACAACAAAAGAAAAAAAAACAGTGCGAGTTGTTCTTCTCTTTATTTACCTTTTCTTCATTGTGGTTTTCTTCTTTTTTTTTTTTTTTTTTCACCCCTTTTTTTTTCTTCTTTGAATGTTCTACCAAAAAAAAATAAGAGTGCTCTGGGTGAGAGGGCGCGAGCCAAGCATTGCATAACGCGTTTGTTTGTGCGCCGTCATGAGTTTGTTGATTTTCTCTTTTTTTCTTTTCTTCTCCGCCTGTTCTTCCTTCCGTCGGTCTGTTTGAATGTCTTTTTTTTTCTTTTTTTTTTTTTAAATTTTCTTGCGCCTTTACGCTCCTTTCCTCTGGTTGGGGAAGCAGCCACAATGGTGGATCCGCAGGGCACGTCGTTAGAACAACACCTGAAGGATGAGCGTGCAGCGTATGCCAGCCTCGCTCTTCTGAACATACAATCGAGTGCCCTTCTGGATCGTTTTTATCGAGAGTGGTTTGCATTGGATTCGAAGCGGCAGACGCTCATGAAAGAGTTGGAGCATCATAGCCGCGCTATTCGTGAGCACCGGCGGAGATTGGAGTTGACGTTGTTTCCACCCGAGGTGAGGGGGTGGATGCAGTCCGTGTTGCCTGAAATGGAAATTTTGGAAGAGGGCGGCCCAAAAATGAATGCACTTTATGAACCATTCTCTGATACGCTGTGCTCAAGACTTCCTGCAACAGGAAAGATGCGAGCGGCGTTTGAAGAGGCCATCACACGGCAAGTTGTGCGCTGGGAAGAAGGAAACAAAGGTCCCTGTTCGGAGTACAAGGAGCAACCGGCTCCCTCACGTTTGTCACGAGTCACTCCTCAACCGGGAATTCTGTTAGGTTCCTGCTTTTTGCCGTACAGGGACCCCCAAACGGCCGAATTGCGTCGTCGAGCTGTGGGCGGAGATTTAATCGTCATGAAGAGCCCCGAACTGAGTGTGGGTCGTGTACTTGTCTCCATGCATATGGTTTGCCGCGGTGATCTCATCATGGTGGAAACACCACTGTTCACTTCTCCCACGTCAGGGAATGAGGCAAATCATGAGGGTCTTCTTCCACCAGCTGTTCGAAATGCCATGAACTCGGTGCTACGTCAGTCCGAGGTCTTTGCGGTGCAAGGGTGGGACACCCGCCTTATTCGTCCCTTCTATGAATGGTTGACAGAGTTGGCATTTGGTGAGAAGCAAGAAGAGTTTTTGCAGCGATGGGATGAACTTGGATGCCCAGTGGAAGATGTTGATCCCACTCTCCTTTCAAAGTTGTCTGACCTGGCACACTTTGTGTGGATGAGTCTTCCGTCTTCACTTTCATCGATATTAGAAAGCGAGGAACGAGTGCTTTTGTTTTTTATAACCCTTATAACAAATGCAATGAACTACGGTGGGGGTACATGGGCATACGAAGATGTCTTTTACAGCGCAGAAAATGGTGTTTGTCTTGGGATGCTCGAAACAGGGATAGGCGTCTTTGGTGGAATTTCATTGATTGAGCACAGTTGTCATCCCAATGCCCTTGTCGTGTTTCGCCATGGGTGCACCCCAGAGAGCATTGTGTTTGCCGAGTTACGAGCCACACGTCCGATTGGAATCGGGGAACGCATCACGATTGCGTACGTGCCAACTTTTATTCCAAAGGAAGAAAGACAAAAACGGTTGCGAGCCAAATTCTTCTTTTCCTGCGCGTGCGTTCACTGTACAGCTGGGTATGATACAACACGACTGATGTTTGCTTCGTGTGAGTCACTGGATGAAAGGGTAGTCATGTGTCCAAAGGGGCGGGGATCGGAGTGGACGCTGTGGTCTCTGAAGTTGCGTCCCTGTGTGTATGGTTTAAAGGAGGTTGGGAAGTCTTATCGCTATGATGACACCTACGTTTTAGATGCGACCCGTGATGAGATGCTATTTCGACAAGATATGAATAGCAATGAATTGAACGGAGATGATACTCTGGTGCCGGCACTGAGAAGAGAAGTGAAACAGTTAACGGATGTGCTGCATGGGGAGGCAAAAAGTCACGTCAGTCCACTTCACCACCTCTTTCTACTTCGAGCGCTGCAAGTAGCGGCAATTACAAAATCGCGGTTTTCTCAGTTGGATGCTGCCATGATAGAGGCCGTGCTGATGCTTATGTGTGAATTGCTGAAGGAGCTGACAGGGATCATCTTTTTGCTGCCTGACTGGTTTGCAACGGAACTTCTTCTCAATGAGAGACATACGGGTGCGCTCTCTGATGATCTGGGCGATAGGTTATTGAATGACAGCAGCAATAGAGGTAACGGGGCGCGGCAGCCGTGGCAAGAGTGTCTCACCATGCATCCGCTGCTTCATCCACATGGCAATCTTCTGGTCTCGCTCTTGGAGTATTATGCCATACTCCGTGAGGAGTCGGGAAACATTGAAGCCGCAATGAACGCGTGGACTGCGTGCGTTTCTTTGCTGCGACACGGAATGTGCCAGGGTGGTTCTGAACGCTGCATTCGCGCCCAGTTGAGGGCCCTGCATTGCCGTCACCAGCAGCAAAAGCAGCATTAAGATTAGGATTAAACCACAAGTCGTCATCACAAGAAATACGCGTAATAATGGGGATAGCTAAACCATTTCTACTTTTATTTTTATTTCCGGAACCTTGTGAAGAGACTGTTTAAGGGTCGAGCTGACTATCTAATTTAATATATATATACCCTGATGAAGCGAACTCTCCATGAGCCTTTTTCCCCTACTTTATTATTTTTTGGTTGACCGCGATTCTAGGAATCAGGGAACCAATGGCGTCTATACGAATTTAGTTGTTTTATTTTCATTTTGTTTTTACAGCCAAACCTGATTCCTGCAAGCTCATATAAAGGAATGGCGATGGTTCCTTTTACATGGCAACGGAATGGAGCCTTATCGGTAATTGCATGGCGGATCTGGTACGCCAGCAAGGCGATATACAGGAGCAACTCGCCTACATGGATGAAAAGGGACAGTCGGAATCAATGATGACTGTCAGTGCTACCATAAGGGGCTCACGATGGATTTCAGGAAACACTGCCAAGCACTGGGAAGATTCAACCCTTACGGGGCACATTGCGGATCTCCGGGCGCCCCAAGCACCAAATTTTGAGTCTCAATTCCTCCTGCCCATAATGAGGGCAGCCCGTGAGTTGGGGACGCGGCAAGGGCTGACCATCGCGGAAGGGCGGAGATCAAAGTCGCACTACGCCGCCGCGGACGTGCAGAATCAGAGCGCGCAGCTTCAACATCAGATGGAGGAAGCGAATAACCACTTTTCGGCACGTGCGTCGAACACTGCGGTGGCGGAAGGTCTTCTTGCGCGACGAGAATCGGCGCTTGCGGGGCGCGAACGCCATTTGGAGACAGCCCCTGCCCAACCCCAGGGACAACCCCAGGAACGAAAGGCACGCATCGGTGCCTTGGAAGCGCGGCTTGCAGCTTGGGGTGCGGCGACGCGCCCGGACAGCGAGGAGTTCCCTCTTCCAGGAGAGGGCCGCCAGATGTACCCGCGCACGGGTCCGAAGATGGCGCAACGACACCGTCCCACCACGAGCGTTTGATGGCCAGGGGCGCGGCTGCACCCACAATTCCCCAACCCATTTTCACGGGAGAGCGACGGCGGGTCAATACTCATGCGTCATTGGACAATTTGGGCGACCGCGTTTCCCTCACCCCGTGACTTCGCCCTCTCGATCTCCGGCTTCAGAAGAAGTTTCCGGTTCGGATGAAGAGAATCCGGGTTTCCTTGAATTTGTCGCCAACACTTGTTCCCGCGAATTTGGAATGAAGGCATCTTTGAAATCCGTAGCGCTTACGATTACTGGCACCGAGGGGATGCTCACGCCCAAATTGCCTTTGACATTCTGGTTTCGTGGATGTGCGCATTGCAGTTGTATCGGGAGCCCAACAAGCAGTTCATGGACTTTGGCAGGATTGTACTGCAAGTCTTTTGGATGCAGATCATGATTAAATCCGACCCCAGCATCCCGATCCAAAAACTGCGTGCCCGCCTTCATACGGCTTTTTATGAGGATGACACCTTCGCGAGGGCGGCTCAGCCTCTCATGGATCGAATGGGAACTCGACCGCTGTTGCTGCGATGCCGACTGTGCCACAATTATGGGCACGACGCGTCTAATTGCAACGTGCGCCCCAAAAGGGTTTCACCGAACTACAAACGAACGTCAAAAAAAGGCAAAGGGGCTGCCCGCCGCTCATGAAGGCGGACGACGGCGGCCACACCCATTCCACCACCTCCCACCAATCCCCACAGAAGACGTCGCACCGCACCGCCGATGCCTCATCCGATCCTTCGAATCGCCCCACGCAATCGTTAAGAAGCGCAAAGGAGCTTATACGCCAACGACGCTCGACTGTGGTACCGCGAATCACCGATATCTTCGCTCTGTGCCAGCCACGTGAGGAGGGCGAACGAGTTGGCTTGAGAAATGCGGGCGCCGTCAAAGTAGGAGCTGAGAATGTCACTAGCGGGGCAATTCACAAGTTCTTGCCGCACGCACGCGCAGCCGATCAACGAGGAGTGCTGCGCGGTCATTTTGATGGCAATATGAGATGTGGCGCCATCGATCCGACCGCAGCACGCCAGGATGCTGGCGGTCCATGTTGCAAATGTATCGAACCCCGCTGGAAATGGCGATTCTGGGGTTACAAAAAATTGCGGCGCGTTCGGAAACGAAGCAGGCGCGCCCCCTTGACAACGGAAAAGATGAACCAATTTGTCCGCAGCCGGACCGATTGAAAGGAACGTGTTGTTTTCAACTTGTTTGGGTAATGGCGAGTCGTTGGTCCGACATTGCGGCCTTGACTCCCAAAAAATTTCACACTGGATCCGGACGGGACCATAATTCTGGATTTGTCCGTGGCACCAAGGACGGCGAGGGCGGATCCTCACCGCGCCTCGCGGTTCGTCAGGATACGAGGGCGGGATGCGTTCAACACTATAAAGTTATGCAGGACACTTTGACACAGCGAAAAGCTCACGAATCTTACGACTGCCCACGTGGAGCGAGCTCTGGCTTCTTGGGATGCCACGGCGCATTCCATAAAACGGGGTGCGCCGCTGAAATTGTGGAGTCACACAATTTGGACCCACGCGTGATCTTGCGGATGGCGGGGCAGGACGACCCGTTCGACCTTCCTCAAGGCACAGTTCGGTATTTGGGGAATTGCAACACAGTGCTGACCCAGGTGTCGTCGCTGGTTGCATTGGTGTGAAGGGAGAAACTGCGGGAGGGCCGGAACCGTGGTTGAGAGCAGAGAGGCGTTTTTCTATGATCTTCATCGTGCCGCCGCGGTTTAAAGACGCGCGACAAGGACGCGACTGGCCACTCCACAAGAGGAACGAACCATCCCGCCACAGCAAGTCAACGTTTCCGCATTGAATTTGGAGTGCGTCAGGGGACCGTTGAACCCGGCCACCTTGGAGAGACTCATGCAAGTTTGCAGACTCGTCGGGCGGTCCCCTTTTCCTCCGTCCTCTTTTACACCAGGCGAAAGCCCACGAAGGATTCCAGTCGCTGACGCGCGATTGTTGAAGGAAGCGTGAATAATCGAGGACGCTTCATCCACAACAACAGGCTGATGGATAATACCCTTTTTCGGTTGTGGAGGAGAAAAACGCCGGTTTGCGAAAACGATGGATCGCGTGGGCACGCGACAAGAATAGAGAAGAACCTTATGAGGCTATTGTACCTTTTTTACGCATTTCCCATTACTTGCCACCTGTGATGGCTGAGGCCGCTTCCTGCCTGGACTCAAAGGCATTCTTTTTCCGAGTCTCCTTACCGCGGGAGACTCGGCATCTCTTTCGATGCCGCGTGGAGGACGGCACGCTGGAGGAGCTCACGCGGCTTCCTATGGGATACAAGGCCAGCCCAGAAATTCTCCAGATTATAATTACCTCGGCAATTGCGGGCTGAAGACGGTGGTTCACTTCCTCTGGGCCGCACCTCCATTGGTGCGTATCGACGTATGGATCGATAATATACGCATCGCAGGGTCGAAAGGCGATGCGACATTGTGGGAAGCCCAGGTGCTTCGTAATGCGGACGGCCGTCGCGCCACGATGGGGGAGGAACGCGAATCGGGCGCTACGCATTACACCTTCCTGGGGGTGCGGTTTGATCATACTCACGCCGAGCGGTATTCCTGAGTGACAAGTTTGTCCGGTCTGTACGCGCCATGCCGGCGCTCAATTCTTCAACCATCGCGGAAATGGAGGTTATGGCGTCACGTTTTTTGTACGCGGCTGTCATTTTGGGCACGCAATTATGCGACTACTACTTTTCCATCAAGGCAGTGCGACGACGATTATCGGCACTTAACGGGGGGATTGTGCAGGAGACATCCCCGGCCAACGTTCCGCCGGCAGCGGTTGGTTTGGATGAGAGACTACGACACATCATCGAGAATAATCGTAGGCGAAACCTCAAGCCCACGGAAAAGGCATCGGCCGCCATCATCACGGATGCGTTGCTTCATGGATGGGGAGCCGTTTTTATTCCAGACTCCGGCGACGTTAAAATTGCCGGAGGGGAATGGGAGAGGAATCCTTTTCTTATCATGCAGGCCGAGGCGCGCGCGGTACACTTTGCCTTATCGGATTTTTCCGCCATCTTGCCACCCACCACTGACGTTTGGGTGGACAACACTTCGCTGCAGGGAACGGCGAATAAAGGCAGCTCAAAGTCATACGCGTTAACGTGGGAGCTGCAAAGGATATATGAGTTTTGGACTCTCGCGGAATACAGGCATCCTTTGTTTACGTACGGTCAGCAGACGGCATATCACGCAGTCGTGTTTTTACACTTCAGGACTTGGCGAAAGGAATGGAACTTGTGAGGGGGAGCGGCGGTGTCTTGTGGCTGGAGGAGCCCAAATTCTGTCACTTTGTAAGTAATAAATATGTATATCCCATCCGAATAGAGTGCAGCATGTCACGATTGTGGCTAACGGATAATGTAAATATATATATACACTTACTTGGTGCATACTTTGAAGATGTGGTGGAGCCATTCTCATTCCATTTGCTTTTTTTCCTTTCGTTTTGTTTGGTTTCTATTATTGGTAACTTCAGGATTCTATCAGCGGCCCAGGTGAATATTCACTTTTTATCATCGCATGGAGTGAGGCATCGCGTCCCATTGAGGTGGGACTGCAGTGAAGTTTTGTTGCCGCGTCATGGATGGGTGAGGATACGCTTCTGCGTGTGGCGGGTGCTGTGGGTGCTCGCTCGGTGTGCGTTGTGCGTTGACAGCGGGGCCGTGGTCGTATCACGTTGGCCGTGGGATTGAACTTGAGGTGGTGACAGTGGGTCCCTTCTCCTCGTGCATGGTGGGTGATTGCTGGCGTTGTGTGCGTTTTTTGTGTGGAGAGCCGAATCCTCTCACCTGCGTACTGACAGCGCTGCGATGGTGCGTGAGTGTGTGGGGGCTAGTGTGGAGTCGCCGGCCAGGGTGAGGGCCTTGGCGGTGCTTTTTCCGCTTGTCGTTTGTTCCTTTTGTGCGTTGTGCTGCCTCTTGCTTTTTCCCCCTTGTCATCCTCTCCTCCCGTGTTCCTGCGTGGAGCGGCCGCATGCTCGCGTGCCAAGCTGATCGTGAGTGCCTCTTGACGGCATCCACCCATTTCCTTCTCTCTGTCTGTCTGTCTTTCCCTGCTGGGTGTGAGGCGTGTAGCACCGCGGGAGGGCTGGCCCGCACACGCCGACGGCCCACCATGACGCCCGTGATGGCCGGTGCGGAGTGGCGGTGCGTGGCGCTTGGGTTTTGCGGTGCAGATACGGTGCGGTGACTGCGAGAGGGTCAGTGCTCTCCTCGCACCGTTCTCTCTGTGTGTTGCTGCTCTTTTCTGTGTGTGATGGTTCTCCGTGCTGTCGCTTCTGGATTGACTTGTGTTGTGGTTTTTGCGTGGGCGCTCTGCTCTGCTCCCCACGGACGTGTCTGACGTATTGCCGCTGTTGTTCTTTTCAAATTCTTGAACGCACACAAACACACATGAATTAGGAAGTTACGACCGAACGCTAATCGCTACTGTGAAATTCGAGGGCTTTGAAAGGACCAACAGCACACACACCGCACAAACAAACACATATTTACATGCTCTCACGTGTTGCTGCTGTCAAGGCACCCAACGCACACAACCGTCGCCGCGTGACCGGATCCAGCGGAAGGAGGAGGGAAGGAAGAGAGAGTGAGCACCAGAGGCCCAGCATGTCCCGGCATTTCTTTCGCTCCGCGGGGCTGCTCCTCCTTTTCGTGATGATGTGCTGCGGCAGTGGAGCTGCAGCCGCTGTGGAGGGTAATTCAGAGGGTAAAATCATCTTTAAAGGAGAGGAATCATTTTCTGATTCAATGAATGCCACTTTGGTACAGGCGTTTGATTCTTTTCGTGCACCTTCTCTTGTTTACGTGAATGGTGTTGTTGTGGCCACTGTTGAAGCGCATTACACAAATAGCACGGATAGCAAGTCGTGTGTTAGTATTGCTGCAAAGTCGATGGAAATTGATGGACGGACGTGGACTAAGGGAAGTGCCATCGTGTTTGATCATTATGACGTGCGTATTGACCGCCTGTTGCGCCCAACTGCCATTGTGAAAGAGTATGGTTATGAAATAAATGCTCTTGTCGGGGGTTATCACACGTCAGGGGCTCCATTGAAGGAGGTGGGTGATGGTTATTGGACGCCCAGGATGGCAGACGGTAAGGTTTCGGGTGAAGAAGACGGTAAGATGGAGTTTGAGTGGAACCGGGTTGCAAGCACTACGAATCTTCGGGGCATTTTAGAGGATTACAGCACCAATATCAAACGCTTCAAACAGTTTCTGGGTGGTGGCGGGGCAGGCATCATGTTGGAGGACAATTCCTATGTGCTGCCTATTCAAGCCTTGAAGGATGATGGAAAGGAAGTTTCTTTGGTTATGCTCTCCAAAAAACTTTCGTTTGGTTGGGAGTTCTCAGAGGATACGAGTCGTGATGGATGCATCCAGCCTGCGGTTCTTGAATGGGAGGACAGAGAGCTCGTCATGATGACGTCGTGTGATGACGGCAGTCGCAGGGTTTACTGGTCAGGCACCATGGGGAAGATGTGGACGGTGAGGTACGGCACTTTGTCACGCGTGTGGGGCAACTCACGGACACGTAAAGGGCACGGCGTTCAGGGTGGCTTCGTCAGCGCGACGATCGATGGACAGAAAGTCATTCTCGTCAGCCGGCCGGTATATTCCGGGGAGGCGGGACAAGAAACGGGCCGACTTCACTTGTGGCTGACGGACATGCAGCGAATTTATGATGTTGGGCAGATATCCGCTGTGGGTGAGAACGTCGCCGCCAGCACTCTGCTGTACGTCGCAGCCAAAGCGTCATCGTTGAAAGGGGGAGAACCGAATAAGGAAAAGGAAAAACTGTACTGCTCGTACGAGGTCGCTGCTGCAGAGGGAGGGAAGTACAGCATTGCCTTTTTGGACTTGACGGAGAGGTTGGAGGACGTGAGGAAGGTGTTGGCTGCATGGAAGGAGAAGGACGCGTACATTGAAAAGGAATACAGTTGCGGGAATGAAAAGAATAATTGGAGCAGTGACTGTGACGATGGTGACCTCACTAAAGGGCTGGTTGGCTTCTTATCCAACACGTCAACTGGGAATACATGGAGTGACGAGTACCTCTGCGTGAATGCCACCGTGAAGAATGGGGTGCCAGGGGCTGATGGTGGATTGACGTTTCAAGGGTCTGGAGCGGGGGCGGAGTGGCCTGTTGGCAAAATGGGGCAGAATGTGCCGTACTACTTTGCGAATGAAAAGTTCACCCTCATGGCGACGGTGTCCATCCACAAGGTGCCGACGGAAGGCAGCAGCAGCCCCATTCCTTTGATGGGTGTGAAGCTGAGTGAAACCGACAGCACGCTGATCTTTGGTCTGTCGTACACCCACGACAAAAAGTGGAGGGTAGCATTCAACGGCAGTTTCCTGGAGCTGACGCATGGTGACGACCTCAGATGGGAACCAAACACGAAATATCATGTGGCACTGCATATGGAGTCTGATGATGGGTTGATGGTGTACGTGGATGGAGAGACGATATACGACAGCGAAGAGGAGGACTATGAGGATGATTACGGCTTTGCTGGAGCCCTTCGAAGCCTAATGAGCTCCCACAGCATCTCGCACTTTTACATTGGCGGGGACAGCGAGAGGGACTCGGACAACATTAATGTGACTGTGAGCAACGTCCTGTTGTACAGCCGCGCATTTAACAAAGCCCAGCTCAAACCACTAATGAAGAAGAACACTGTTGGCACTCCAGATGCGGAGGTGCCGGCTCCGAATGTTGCGACTCAAACGATTGTTGCGAGTCAATCTTCTGGTCAACCCGCCGATGAGCCCGTCGTCACGAATGAAGCACAGCCATCAGGAAATGCAAATGGCCCAGCCGTTTCCAGGGAAGCATCTTCTCCTTCTGTCCTTGACTTGTCCACCTCAGCTGCTGCGTGGGAAGTGAAAGAAGAGGCACCCAGCAGCAGTGTTGAATTGCTGCCTGCATTGTCTCCAACACCGAGCGCAGGCGTTCGTCGTGAAGTACCTGAAACCGAGGAGTCTGTCAGTGGGGTGCACATGGAAGGTGACCAGGAGTACTCGCCTACCAACGGGGCTGCGTCGACGATGGAGCAGGCAGGCAAGGCGGATGAAGACTCTTCGCGGAATGTAACCACCAACGATTCGATGCAGCACAGCATTGACCGTGAAGAGGACACGGATGTCCTCACTGCCGTGGGCACGAACAGCAGCACAGACCCAGCAACTGCCCACCGCAATGATAACGTGTCGGGTGGCGCTAATGCCGCACCGACTCATTCGAGCACAGCGCCTGTGGAAACCAAGATCCCATCGGAGCTCAATGCAACAATACCCTCGGACCATGAACTTTTGCTTGAGCACGGGCAGCTCGGCGATTTGGCGGCCATGGCTCTAATTGGTGACAGCACCGTGCACGGGTGTGTGTCTCGGGTGTTGCTGCTGCTTCTGGGGCTGTGGGGCACTGCGGCGCTCTGCTGAGGTGTGAGGAAGGGTGGAATTGCGGCTTTTCGTGGAACAACGAATGTGCAGCTTCCCAGCACTACGCACTCAACTTTGTGAAGGATACTTTTTTTATTTTTATTTTCATTTCATTTTTCTTTTTTTTTGCTTTTTTTTGCCCACACGCGGTGCCGGCCTCATTGCTGTGCGTCCCACGGACTGCACAGGAGGAGGAGTGAAGGAGCAGGCCGGATGCCGCATGGAATGTGAGGGATTTTGTGTGGGCTCGTGGAATACTGTGATTTCCTTTTCTTGTTTTTCTGTGGGCAGTATGTATGAACTCAAAAACACGGTCGTATTGTGCTGCAGAGAACATGAAATGGAATCTCCGCCGAATCAATTGTTTTTTTTTCTTTTTCATTTTTTTTTTTTTTTTAATTTAGTTCTTTTCTTTATTATTATTATTATTTTTGGGAGTCATGCCGGACTCCCCGTCTTCTTTTTTTTTGCTGTGTTCACTGCCGCTGAGTGTCTCCGTGCCCTTTTATTGTCTCTCTGCTGGCTGTGCTGCTGAAACGCCCCCATTTCTTATTTTTCTTTCCTGCTAGTGGCACCGATGGTCCGCGACGACGGTTGTTTGCGCTCCCCTCTGCGATGGCACGAGGGTGACTGGGCGCCGGTCTGCTGAGCGCACTCGAAGTGAGCGGATGGTGTGCGCCGTGCCTCACTGTGAGTGTGGGACGCCACCCGCCACCGCCTGCTGTGAGGCGGAGAGAAGTGAAAGACTGCGCCGTGGACTTGGACGTGCCCCGTCCCTCTCGTCGCGGCCGTGTGCGTGTGTGTGTGTGTGTGTTCTGGATGCCCAAACCCATTTGCCCGCAAATGCGACGGCAGAAAGATGTGATTGCGTGGAGGCGCCACTGGCAATTGAATCAAACCGTGTCTGTGGCACACACGCAAAGAGGAAAAGGAAGGAAGGAATATTCGCCTGGGCTGCTGGCCACCAAACGATTCAATACAAATAAAATACGACGAAAAAGAAGAATGCGTAAATGGAGAAGCAGCGGGTTCGCCAAATCCTCGTTGTTTGCTCCGCATATTTATATATTCTGGTGGACCCACTCTCGTGACACGTTGAACGCTTTATTCGGATTGGATACATATGTATTTATGGCTTACGAAGTGTTACTTTTGATCCTCGAACAATCGAGCGCATTTGCGTTGTTCTTTGGAAAACGAAAGCAACATGTTTAGGGCGTGCCGGGCACGTTCCGGGGTACCATGCGGCTTTGCCGCCAGGAATCCTCGCGCAAGGCGCAAAGCACCACGGTGCAGTTCCTGATCCCGGAACCGTTGCCGCAGCCCTTCTTTTCATTCCTTTTGCCTTGCCCAATCCCGCCAGAAAGGCCAAAAACAAAAGCATTTGGAATGTTTGTTCCTATTTTATGGATCTTTGATTAGCCCGGTTCTGGGAAGCAGGGAGGCACTGGTGTCCGGACGGTTTTTAATATTTTTTTGCTTTTGCCGTCCCGCCCGCCCACTTTTTGATCCCCACCCTGCGGCGGGGTCGTGTGGCTGCAGGAGCCCAAAGTCTGCCACTTCGTAAGTAATATAAATATACAATATATATATATATATACCATCCGAATAGAGTGAACGGGTCACAATTGTGGCTAACGGATGATGTAAATATATATATGTACCTGGTTGCTTTTAAGCATTGAGGATATGGTGAATCCATTCTCATTCCATGCATCCCTTTTCTTATTTCTATCTTGTTTGGTTTCTATCAATGGTGAATTCAGGATTCCGCAAGCGGCCCAGAAGATTATTTTTATTTATTTATGTATATTTTTTGTTGTTGTTGCTGTCTCCACCTTTTTTTTTTTTTTTTTTTTTTTTTGGCTTATGATGGCTGTTGTTTGTTGGTGATTAACGGGAAGCGTGTGGAAGTTGTATGTGTCAACGTGTGTGTGATTCAATTTTTGTTTGTTTACTCCTTTTATTTTTTTATTTATTTTGTTCTGTTTGTGTATGTGCGTTGGCAGCCTAATCGAAACTCTCTAGTTAGTAACTTAATAACTCTGCCGAGACATTGTGTGGTTTTGAGGTACCATGACACAGATCATCACTGAGAATTTGCGTTCAAGCGTACCGCCTGCTGCCCCGAAAAGCCAGCGAGTATGCCGTCATTTTGCTCGAGGCCGCTGCACGTGGGGATCATCGTGTCGCTTCTCTCATGATGTGGAACGTGCAGCTGCAGATGAGACCCAAATCAGTCAGACATTCATTGGGCTTCAGCAACTGCAGCTGCAGAAGGAGCGTCACGTGATACTCAAGGCAGCCTTGGAAGGAGAGTTCGAGATAAAACCGTACAGTGTTGCTGAGGAGTACCAGAGGCATATAGTTCACCTCCGTTTTTCGTCGTCGACGATAATTCTTCCACGCCTGCTGACTGAGGAATCGCTTCAGCAGCAGCTGATAGAACTGGAAGAAAATGAACAGCTTCGCATTGGTGGTCTTCTCTTCCTCGTGGGTGAACCTGCTGTGTTTTGGTCCATGATGCAGCTTTACCGTCTGCGCCGGACGACAACAAGCTCCAAGTGGGACACCTTGCTGGAAAACGCAAAACGTGGCTACGTGGAGTGCATGTTCTTTCGCTCAGCAGTGGGATGTTTAAGCAGCGATTGTCCCTTTTCCCACACCGCTCCCCCAGCCGTGAATTTGTCCACGCCGCTGCAAAACATGGCGACAAACAACGCTCTTCTGACGCCACTGTTGGGGTTTGGTCTAACAGCACCAGCACCAGCAACAACCGCAACATCGACGGTGGCTTCGGTGACAAAAACGCACACGAATGGGTTTCGTCCGCCCGCTGACCCTGTGAGGCACGTTGGCGTCTCGTCATTGACGGTTGGTAAAATGGAGGAATCAGTGGCTTTCCGCGACAGCGTTTGGGGGGCCTGCGGAATTCCGGAGCTCAAGCCGACCCATGAGCCGCAGGAGAGCCTTTCCTTCATGTGGGGTGGTGGTTTGAGGAGTGTACAGGATGTGGAATGGTAATTATTTTCTTCGTGTGTTTATTTGTACATATATATATATATGTGTGTGTGTGTTTATGTGTGCGTCTCATCGTCTGGCCTGATTGTTCTCTTGCCCCTTTCTTTACCACTATTATTACACCTACTGCCTTTTTTTTCCTCAAAACGCGTGTGTTCAAAACAGACGCACGTGGATGAGGAAACCACAAGAGTGGTGGCTACGGAAGAGTGAAGAGTAATTAAATGCGAAAGGTTATAATTGAAGTTAACAAGGGGGAAGGGAAACCCCATTTATAGATACACAGAGAATGAGAAATGGAGGGAAAAACGACAATACTTACGAAGATTTCCTGAGCGTGTGTGTATGTTTATATATATATATATAATATTACACACCGTTCGGTATGGGCGTTTTGTATCTTTTTTTCTTTTTTCATTTCGCGTCTTAAAGCCTCATACCCAGCATTCATTGTGTATTTTGTTGAATTTCGGTCATTTTGAGTCTTAGGCATACGTGTTTCTGTGTTTGAGTATGCCTTTATGTACAGAGATGTTTCTGTTTTTATTATTATTATTATTATTATTATTATTATTTTTGTATATGTGTATGAGTGAGAGTGAGTAAGTGTGTGCAAGTATGTGTCTTCTTGTGCGTTTGCTCTCATGTGCCCTCTCCAGAGTCATTTGTGCTGCAGTCTGCCCAGTATGTGGCGTTGCTACCCATGTATTGAGGGGGCTTCGCGACCGTCTGACTCCCCCATGCGTGAGTGCGTTTGTGTCTGATGACGATTGCGTGAGTAGACGGACGCTCGGAGCGATGAAAGAAAGGGAAATAATAATTTAAAAACAAAACAAAAAAACAAAAGAAAAAAAAAAGAAAAAAGGACCGAGGCGTGGGGAGGGCATTTTTGGGGGGTTGGCAAGGCGACACGTACGTGATAACCGATAAAAAGAAGAGGGGAGAGGGCATAACTAACGGACGGTCAATCAAACAGTTGATGAAAAAAAAAAAAAAAAAGAAATGAAATGAAAAGAAAAAGAAAGTGCAGGAGAGGGAGAAAAGCTGAAATGATTTAAGTGCGAAGAAAAAAAAAAAAACCAGGCGGGATAACGAAGGAAAAGTTATGAGCATTGAATTGGGAGGTTCATGAGGCCAGTGCACATAAGCCCACGTGCGCATCAAGTGAAGAGAGAGAGGGAGAGAAATGTGGAATGAATGGAGCACAAAAAAAAAAAAAAAAATGAAAATGAAAGACACCCCAAAAAATGAGTTAATAGTTACGGGTAGTTGACCGAATTACATATATTAAAAAGAAGAAAAAACAGCAACAACAAGCAACCAAAAAATAAAAAATAAAAAAACAAACGGAGGGGGAAAAGGGCGTGGAAGGAAAAAAGAAGTTTGAAAAGTACTGAAGAAGACGGAAGCGGGAAGGGTGCAGTGCGACAACTGTTTTTTTTTTTTTTTTTTTTTTCTCTTTGTGCGTGTGTGTTTGCCCTTCTCTCCCTTTGTTCCCCCGCACATTCATTCGATGACAACTGTGGGGCGCGAGCAACGCTTGCAAGACAAACGGGCAGTCCGAGGAGCGGCATGGACGCAAGCGAGGCGGAGGAAAAGAGTGGACATGGAAATAAATAAATTTTCCAGTTGCTTTTTTTTTTTTTTTTTTTTTTTTTTGAAAAACGCAATGGGAACGCACACGCACACACACAAAAAAGACTTTGAGGAAGAAACAACGAGGGCGCTGATGGCGATGGCAGAGGAAGAAAGAGGGAAGAAATATAAACAAAGCGGAGGAAAAAAAAAAAAAAAGGAAAGGTAAAGCGTGAGGAGAGAAAAAGGATTTTTTTTTTTTTTTTTTTTTTTTTTGGGTGGAGGAGGCGATTACGTGAACTCTCTGTGTGCTTGAAATGCAGGTGTTTTGTTTCCTACTACAACGGTGTTTCCGAGGAGGGTGGGGGGAGGGGAAAGCGTTAAACCCACACATGCATGACATGCAGTTTATGTGTTGGATATGCTGCAGCGGGAAAGGGAAATGGCGAGGTAGAAGACATATAACCCCGGAGTATATGAGAGGTGCGTGTTTACATGCGGACCGTCTCGCAAACACACACACACACACACATGCATTTTAATTAACTAAGTAATTAATATGTATACATAACAAGTACATATTTGCATGTATTTCTATGTATGCATATATATGAGATTACAAGGTTTGATCAGCTCCGTCTTAAAAGTTCACGAGTTTTACTTTAATAAACAATAAAGAATAAAAAAGAAGCAAAAAAAAAAAAAGTAATAATAATAATAATAATATGTAACACACCTAATAAAAGAAAGAGGGTGTCTTTTTGTGTGTGTGTGTGTTTGGGAAGTATGGAGGCAAAAGCAGAAGTGGCAGTGGCAGTGGCGAGTGTAAAGTGGTAGCGGCGGTTGGAGAGGCAGGAGGCGCACGTGTGGCCAGGGGTGGATGGGGGGTGGGAGACGGGAGGAGGTTACGAAGTCCCAAAAGACAACGGGGAGAAAAACACAAGCAAAAAATTCAAAGAAAAAAAAAAAAAAAATAAATAAATAATAATAATAATTTAAAAACAAAAAATAACAACAACAACAAAAAAAAAAAAAAAAGAAAGAAAGAAAAAAAAAAACGCACAAGAAAAGAAAATATAAATAAAGTGGCCGCACGTGTCTAGAATGCGGCGACGACGTAGAAAGGGGGTGGTGGTGGGATGCCGAGTGAAAGTGTGGGGGGTGAGGGGGAAAAAGAAGGAGAAAAAAAAAAAGAAAGAAACTTTTTCATTATTATTATTATTTGTTTGTTGGTTTTTGTTTATTATTTTATTTTGTTTTTGTTGAAAGGGGGGGGAGGGGCGACGAGGAGAAAAATAAAAAAGTAAAACACACGTGCCCCCTTCCCCTCAAAAAAAAAAAAAAAAGAGGGAAAAAAAAAGTCTGGGTTTTTTTGGGGGGGATGGACGGGGAGAATTTTACGGCAACGACTGCCGTTTTTAAAGTGTGGAGGAAAAAGACACTTTCAAAAGGAAATTATGAGAGAAAAAAAAGAAATAATAATAATTAATTAAAAAAAAAAAGAGGCGTAAAGAAAAAAAAAAAAAAAAAAAGATGAGAAGACAAAACAAAAATTGAGGGATAAAATGTGATGAGGGCCCATAACGATTTGAAAGTCTTAAAAAGAAAAAAAAAAAAAAAAAAAAAAATTGGAGCGTCTCTTAATATCTCGTGAGGAGAAAGACATTTTTTATTGCTCGTTTTGATAACATTTTTAAAGTCAGTATAACATCTATATATATATATATTTTTTTTTCAATGTTTCCATATGAGGAGAGAGAAAAGGTTGCGGGGGAAGCCTTGGGCTTTAGAATTGTTTAACACCTTCACAAGGACAGAGAGGAAACGCAAAAAAAAAAAAAAAAAAGAAAAAAATTGCATACGGTTGTGTGGCCTCGTGGCACGTTGGGCTCTCAATCACTGTGGGAGGCATGAGAGGGGGAGTCATATGGAGGTGTGGGCTCATGATGCGAGTGTGACGCCGTCCCATTGGTTCGTAGTGTTGTTTTGTTTACTTGTCTTTTTTTGTTGTTGTTTTTTGCACGTGTGTAACATTTTTAGAAAGCCCTATCATTTATTGAAAGTAGGGAAGTGTTAAGCCTTTGCCTATTCTTTTTCTTAGCAGCGACATCACTATGTCCTCTAGCGAGAAGGAACGAGAAGCAGCTGAGACTGGCGTGCCGACGTCGGATGCCGCGGAAGAGCGCGAGGTAAAGCAAACTGCCAGTAATGGCACGGGTGCTGAGGGGTCAACAGCAACAGCAGCAACGGCGGCGCCATTGTCACAGCAAAAACAACAATTGCCGGGAGATAGCGCCCCAGCGGAGGAGGAGAGCCAGGATCACAGACCGGCCACTCTCGCTCATATCCAGCAGAATTTTGGTGTCATGTCCCGTGTTTTAGAACGGGAGGTGTTTCGACGGGGATTGATAAATAGTAGCGTGGAGGAGATGTACTCAGCCTTTTTTGTGATAAGTGGTGTTTTAATTGAAATCCTTAAGAGCGAAACGGATCAGCGTCTTCTACATATGCAGCTTTTGGAAATGCTGTTGACGATACTGGAACCTACATACGGCATCGATCATGCAAGGATGCTGGTGGCCATAATGGATCAGTCTGTTTCTGACTTATACTTGTTCCAAGCGTTACTGTCTTCCTCCTCTCTGGAGGCTTTGGTTCAGAGAGCGGAGGAGTTTATGAACCCCCCAACACGTTCTGTTGGGGCTGGCATGAGTGGCGGTATTCCTGGGAACTATAGCGGTGTGCAAAATGAGAATATGCGCGTTGTGCAGCCGGCGTACAACAGTGTGTCGGCAACGGTGCGTCCCTCATACGCGGAGTTCAACAAAGACCGACGTGTGGAGCCATCAGCGGAGCCAGCCATGTCTCGTGGAGCAAATACATACACGGAAGGAGGCGGTGCCCCAGCTTCCAGCCAGCCAGAAGATGATGCGATGCCAGCGGTTGCCTCTGGTTGGGCAGCTGTGCAGAGAAAGCATACCGATCATGATCGTGATGTAACGGTTCATCATCACCACCAGCAACAGCAACAGCAGCAGCAGCAGCAGCCACAGCAGCACGTACAGCATCGAGTTCCTTTTAATCAGTACCTTCATCAGCAACGGAATCAAGCTCCAAACGTAGCCCATCATCATCAGGTGGTTGTAGGTACTGGTCCGATGGGATTGCAGCAACAACAACAACAACAGCAACAACAACAACAGCAAGAAAGCCCTCAAACGGATTCGTTCCCACGTGCACCGGTGCCACAGGGACAACAAAAAAGGATGGTGGAACGTCTGCCGCCTGGAACGCAGGAATCCGATGAGCCGCACGTGCGAGGACCCTTGTGGCGCGTACCCCCTGCTCCTTCTGGAACTCAGCAGGAGACAGTAACGGTGCCGCAGCCTTCATATCATGCTCAGAACCCATCGTCAACTCCTACTCCGCATTCAAATCAGCATCAAGTGGCATCTCCCAATTCTCCAACGCATCCCAGATTTCTTATTCACCACCGTCATGCCACCACGCATTTTGTGCTACCGGGTCCTGTGGGAAAACAGGCGTCACCGCAACCTGCAACGCAGATCTCGCCGCAACAACCTCCGCAGTCCGCGACAATGACGGCTACGACGACAGCGACAACAGCAGCAACGGCAAGTACGTCGATTACAAACTCACAACGAGTAATGATTCCGCACCATCATCATCATCACCACCTTCATCATCATGATATTCCGCCTCCGCAGCTCATGATGCCTAGAGTCTCACCCCCATCGCAATCTGCTCATGCTGTGAAGCAGGAACCTGTGAGCCCACCTGAGACGAAGCCTGCGGTTCACAATGCAGAGACAGCTGTGCCACAGCTTAGACCTCATCATTTCCACCATATTCCCTCTACACAACAAAAGGTTTTGCGTCAGCCTCAGTCTGTGAGTGTGTCAGCGTCATTAGGTGGCGGTGCTGGTGGCGGCATCAACACTGGCAGTGGCGGAGGTGGCGGAGGTGGGTTTAATGGTGGAGGGAGTGAGGCGCCATCACATGGAGTTATGATACCCACGCATCATCATATGATACACCACTTTCAGCAAATCCGGCCGAGTGTGCCTCCGCCGCAACAACAGTATCGACAACCGACGTCATCGGCCCCAGGACCGATGTCTATTGACGCGCTTAGCAATGATGAAATGAACTGGGCCTCGTCGCAGTCAGCAATGTTGTCAGGTCCACAGGAGCTTCGTTACTTCCTTCGGGAAAGAGGTGTAGCGGAGACTGTCATCAATATTCTTGCAAAAATATTTTTTTCATTGGATGAATTAATGGCAGCTTCTCGTGAAGCGTTTGAGGAGAGAATAAAGAAGGAAATTGTGTCTGTTAATAATCGGCAGTATATTTGGACCATTTTGCATCCGAGCGAAAAGCTACCTTCTGAAAAGGATGTACCTGAGATGAATGAGCTACGTAACTTTATCCACAATAATGCCATCCACAACAACATGTCTCAGGACGGGGAGGATGATACAACGACGTTGAAGCCTGGTCGTCCAAACAAAAATATACTCCAGGTACCCCAACCTAGAACTTCTCAGGGTAAACAACAACAACAACAACAACAACAACAACAGCAGTCAGGGAAGGTAGTGGAATGTAAAGCGGTGATTTGGCTTTCGTCTGTTCGCTCGTGGCAAATTCAATCTGCTGTTGAAGAGTTGTCAAAGTACGGCAAGGTGCTGCAGCATGGAGCATCTTCTCAGAGGCCTGATCTGATATACTTTAAGTTGGGTGACCACAAGAGTGAACTTCAGATGATGCGAAAAATAGGGAGCGCTGTTGTGGAAGATTACTATCGTGTCTCTCCAGGGGATGTAGATGACGGTGCTCCGCCGACGCCGACGGGACGTCCTGAAGGGGCTGACGACAATGGCCCCAGTAAGATACTGGGCCAGAAGGCTGGCAGTGGTATGCATGCCTACCACCAGCATCATCAGCAGCCCTCCGCGAACCGTGGTGGATACGGGGTGGTGGACGAGGAGGATATGGATGGTGATGAAACTCGGAATTTCCGCAAGGGGACTGGTGTGAAGCACGCTAGGGGACGAGGTCGTGGCGGGCATCACAACTATCATCACCATCGGCATCCAGAAGGGGGCACTCAGATGGTGTGCAGATTCTTCAGTAAAGGGACGTGTAAGTACGGAGAGCATTGCCAATATTTCCACCCGCCGAAGAATGCAAGTCGTTCTTGATAAAAGAAAAGGAAGAAGATTTTTTTTTTTTTTTTTTTTTTTTTTAAGAAAGGAAAAAAAGAAAAGGGGAGGGAGGGTGTTTCTTTTCAATGAGGAGACCTGTAAGAAGCAAATTTTGAAAATAATCCCATCCTAGTTTCTTTGTTCGTTTGCTCGCCTGTTCATGTTGTTGTTTCCCAGCTCCCAGCTCCCAGCTCCCAGCCCCCCCACACACACACATTGGTAGCGGCGCCCTACGTTGTATATGGTTATCGCTGGCGTTGACAACAAAAGAGGCACATGTGGTGTGCGGGTGGGAAGGCAGTAGAAGCAAAGCGGGAAATGAACAAGCTGCAAAACAGAAACGAAAAGAAACTGAAAGAAGTTGAAAAGGTGTGAAACCCGAAAAAAAAAAAAAAAAAAAAAAAGAGAAAGAGAGAGAGGGAGAGAGAGAGCGAGAGAAAAAAAAAAAAATAAAAATAAAAATAAAACTATCCGAAAAAAGTGTGTTGCCATAAGCGACAAGGCAGACAAAAGAGGGGGGTCGCAGATGTGAGCTTGCCATATATATACATATATATATATATGCGCTTTTGTATTTGTTGTAAGCTCAGGAGGAACTTGTTTTTGCTAAATCGAAAATGAAGGGTGGGGCAGGAGCGGATTTAGCCCACAAGCACGGACACAAGATAATGAAAGAGAAGAAAAAAAATAATAATAATAATAATATTAATAATAATAAAAGAAAAAAAAAAAAAAAAGAGAGAGAGCGAGAGAAATATAGAAATAACAACAACAACAACAAAAGAAACGAAAACAAAAACGTGTGAGGAAAGAGGGGGAAAAACGTGCTTGGGTTGTGGTTTAATAAATACGAAAGGGAACTGTGCGCGTATATGCCGACCGATCTGCCTGGGGCAATAAAAATATGCATCTATCTATCTATCTATCTGTATAGATAAATAAATAAATATATATTTATATATCTATACATATATCTATACATATATATATATATATATGTATACCCCCAGAGATGAAAAGGATCGTAAAAGGATAAACGATGGGGGGAAAAAGTTTGTGGCTTCTTTTTTTTTTTTTTTTAAATTATTGTTATTGTTTATTTACTTTGTTGTTGTTGTTGTTGTTGTTGTATATATGTGGGGCGTCCGGAGTTTTCGCCGACATCGTTTTTTCTTACAAAAGCTGCGCTTCTTTTCTTTTTTTTCCTTTTATTTATTTATTTTTTTAATGTTGAGGCTTCTTTTTTTTTTTTTTTTTTTTTTTCAAACGTGTGTATATATCACGTACATTGGTAGAGCTCGGCTTCCATCACCAACATTGTCCTGCTGAGCCGGAGCAAGACGGTTTTAATAATAAAAAAAATAAAAACTAATATTTAGTGAGTAACAATAACAACAATAAAGAGTCAATGCCTGCATTGACTCGACCGTGGGAAAATGCTTCGGACTCTTCACCGTCCACCTCCGCAGTCACAGACACCAATGCATCGGTGCGTCGAAACTCCGCAGTTGAAGTCGGTTTATCATCACCTCCAAATACCCTCACAAAACCACCCGCGGCCGCCACAGCCGTGCAAAGCCCAGCAGACGGCTCCCAACAAATAGTATCATCCAATAATACGACAAACACAGTCAGTCGTTATGCACCTGGCTATAATTCTGGAACGGGATACAGCGGACTCGGGATGGGCAGCATGTATGGTGGTCTCGGGATGGGCGGTATGTATGGTGGTCTCGGGATGGGCGGTATGTATGGTGGTCTCGGGATGGGTGGTATGTATGGTGGTCTCGGGATGGGTGGTATGTATGGCGGCTATGGGCTGGGCATGGGCATGGGCATGGGCATGTCCGAAGATATTCAACGCAGTCAGATGACCTTTATGCTTCTTGGGCGTCTCCTTGAAATGTGTGGTATGTTTGCGGGGGTTATTCAAATGACCTTTGGGAACGCTCTTCAGTTTATGGGCAATTATATTGGGATGAGTCAGCAATACAATCAACTGAAATCCGGCATGTACATGGACGAAAGTGGAAAGTGGGTTCAGTTACCGAGAAGATGTGTCACTGACGTAGAAAGTTTGAAAAAGTCTCGCAAGCGGAAGTTTGTGAATAGGAATCGACAAGGGAGAGCGTGGGTTGCCATTTTAAGGCGGGTCGTATTCCTTTTTTTAGCTGTTTTTATGACTAGAAGGCTTATGGGTCGAGCAGCAGCAAAGGAATTGTCTCGGCTTCAGTTTTAAAGGGGTAATTTAGTTTGTGTTTGTGACTTTTGACCAGCATGGGAGAAAATAAGCTCCCCCTATTTGAGGGATGTTTTCTTATGAATTACGCAGCAAAAAGGGAAGAGCACTCGTTGTGAATTTTGGAAAGAAGCCTCACTTTTTTTTTTTTTTTTTTAGGGTGGTTTTATCCCATTGGAAAATAGGAGAGGGTCTTCTTTTCTCTTTTTGTCCTTTCCCTCTCTTTTTTACTTTTCCTGCATGAAATTTCCATATCATAAAAAGTGTTACCTTTATCCTCCCTGATATGGCGTTCCTTTTTTTTTTTTTTTTCTTCTTTTTTCTCTTGGATTCTTTCAAATATATATATTTGAATATATATATATATATATATATATATATGTTTTGCGACTTCCGGGTAATGTCGCAGACTAAAGATGACGGTTGGGAGCCTATATGCCTTTGGGAGGGGGGTGTTGTTGCCGCTTTGTGGATTTGCCACAGGATGGGTGGCCTACAGAGCTGTGGAGGAAAGAGGTCTCATTGACGAGAGCTACCTTAGACGTATTCGCCTGGGCAACCTCACTTTACAGCTCTATCTTCAGCAGCACGTACTTCCTGTTGCCTTCACCGAGAAGTATGGCTACCCAGAGGAATTTCTCAAGACGATGATTGAGCGACTGGGTAGGGGAGACGATGCCGAAAATGAAGCGGAGCGCCAAACATTTGAGCAGATCTTGCGAGAGTGTGATCTAAATGGACAGATAGCGTGGCTTGAGGAGCATGTCTTGTATGACATTCCGTATTTTTACATTGCCGATATTTTTGATGGTTGGTGTGCATTGCATCGATCATTGTTTACTACGGCAGTTGAGGGCGAAGGGAAAGAGAGCGACTTGACTCGGAGGGGTGGTAACAGCGATGCCTTTGCTTCAGAGGTATTATGCAGGGGGGTGGTCGAGAAAACATTAAACGGGATATTCCCGTACGACGTCGCGGTGCGGGTACTTTGTGTTCTTGCAGTGGGACACACCTCAAATGCAAGATTGTTGTCACAACTGATATCACCCACGGTCATTGTAGAAAGGTACGAGGCCTATTTGAATGATCTTGAGCAACGAAACACGATGGCTGGCGATAAAATTCCAAATAAGGAAGTCACTGCGGCAACGCTGGAGTTGTTGCGTGCGTTGAATACTGCCTCGGTACATCGCAGATGGTGGTATTTTTGGGGTCGGGCCTCAACAGGGCCCTACCCTGTCGCTGCGCAGCTGAATGGGGAGATGTGGTGCAGGTGCTTAGGGAATTTGCCCGCGGGCACGAGAGAAATCTGCCCGGATGGTGCTCTTGTCTTTGCTGACACACTCTCTGAGAGTTTTAGGTGCGGAAGTGGAAACCGTCAGTTGGGGGTTAGTGGCGCAGGAAAAAGCTGATGGTGGGTATATATGAGGGAGCAGCTGACAAACTTCTTTATAGAACCTTGTGAAGAGAATGTTCGCGGGCGAGCTGACTATCTAATTTAATATATATATACCCTGATGAAGCGAACTCTCCATGAGCCTTTTTCCCCTACTTTATTGTTCTTTGGTTGACCGCGATTCTAGGAATCAGGGAACCAATGGCGTCTATACGAATTTATTTGTTTTATTTTCATTTTGTTTTTACAGCCAAACCTGATTCCTGCAAGCTCATATAAAGGAATGGCGATGGTTCCTTTTACACGGCAACGGAATGGAGCCTTATCGGTAATTGCGTGGCGGATCTGGTACGCCAGCAAGGCGATATACAGGAGCAACTCGCCTACATGGATGAAAAGGGACAGTCGGAATCAATGATGACTGTCAGTGCTACCATAAGGGGCTCACGATGGATTTCAGGAAACACTGCCAAGCACTGGGAAGATTCAACCCTTACGGGGCACATTGCGGATCTCCGGGCGCCCCAAGTAACAGATTTTGAGTCTCAATTCCTCCTGCCCATAATGAGGGCAGCCCGTGAGTTGGGGACGCGGCAAGGGCTGACCATCGCGGAAGGGCGGAGATCAAAGTCGCACTACGCCGCCGCGGACGTGCAGAATCAGAGCGCGCAGCTTCAACATCAGATGGAGGAAGCGAATAACCACTTTTCGGCACGTGCGTCGAACACTGCGGTGGCGGACGGTCTTCTTGCGCGACGAGAATCGGCGCTTGCGGGGCGCGAACGCCATTTGGAGACAGCCCCTGCCCAACCCCAGGGACAACCCCAGGAACGAAAGGCACGCATCAGTGCCTTGGAAGCGCGGCTTGCAGCTTGGGGTGCGGCGACGCGCCCGGGCAGCGAGGAGTTCCCTCTTCCAGGAGAGGGCCGCCAGATGCACCCGCGCACGGGTCCGAAGATGGCGCAACGGCACCGTCCCGCCACGAGCGTTTGATGGCCGGGGGCGCGGCTGCACCCACAATTCCCCAACCCATTTTCACGGGAGAGCGACGGCGGGTCAATACTCATGCGTCATTGGGCAATTTGGGCGACCGCGTTTCCCTCACCCCGTGACTTCGCCCTCTCGACCTCCGGATTCAGAAGAAGTTTCCGGTTCGGATGAAGAGAATCCGGGTTTCTTTGAATTTGTCGCCAACACTTGTTCCCGCGAATTTGGAATGAAGGCATCTTTGAAATCCGTAGCGCTTACGATTACTGGCACCGAGGGGATGCTCACGCCCAAATTGCCTTTGACATTCTGGTTTCGTGGATGTGCGCATTGCAGTTGTATCGGGAACCCAACAAGCAGTTCATGGACTTGGGCAGGATTGTACTGCAGGTCTTTTGGATGCAGATCATGATTAAATCCGACCCCAGCATCCCGATCCAAAAACTGCGTGCCCGCCTTCATACGGCTTTTTATGAGGATGACACCTTCGCGAGGGCGGCTCAGCCTCTCATGGATCGAATGGGAACTCGACCGCTGTTGCTGCGATGCCGACTGTGCCACAATTATGGGAACGACGCGTCTAATTGCAACGTGCGCCCCAAAAGGGTTTCACCGAACTACAAACGAACGTCAAAAAAAGGCGAAGGGGCTGCCCGCCGCTCATGAAGGCGGACGACGGCGGCTACACCCATTCCACCACCTCCCACCAATCCCCACAGAAGACGTCGCACCGCACCGCCGATGTTCCATCCGATCTTCCAAATCGCCCCACGCAATCGTTAAGAAGCGCAAAGGAGCTTATACGCCAACGACGCTCGACTGTGGTACCGCGAATCACCGATATCTTCGCTCTGTGCCAGCCACATGAGGAGGGCGAACGAGTTGGCTTGAGAAATGCGGGCGCCGTCAAAGTAGGAGCTGAGAATGTCACTAGCGGGGCAATTCACAAGTTCATGCCGCACGCACGCGCAGCCGATCAACGAGGAGAGCTGCGCGGTCATTTTGATGGCAATATGAGATGTGGCGCCATCGATCCGACCGCAGCACGCCAGGATGCTGGCGGTCCATTTTGCAAATGTATCGAACCCCGCTGGAAATGGCGATTCTGGGGTTACCAAAAATTGCGGCGCGTTCGGAAACGAAGCAGGCGCGCCCCCTTGACAACGGAAAAGATGAACCAATTTGTCCGCAGCCGGACCGATTGAAAGGAACGTGTTGTTTTCAACTTGTTTGGGTAATGGCGAGTCGTTGGTCCGACATTGCGGCCTTGACTCCCAAAAAATTTCACACTGGATCCGGACGGGACCATAATTCTGGATTTGTCCGTGGCACCAAGGACGGCGAGGGCGGATCCTCACCGCGCCTCGCGGTTCGTCAGGATACGAGGGCGGGATGCGTTCAACACTATAAAGTTATGCAGGACACTTTGACACAGCGAAAAGCTCACGAATCTTACGACTGCCCACGTGGAGCGAGCTCTGGCTTCTTGGGATGCCACGGCGCATTCCATAGAACGGGGTGCGCCGCTGAAATTGTGGAGTCACACAATTTGGACCCACGCGTGATCTTGCGGATGGCGGGGCACGACGACCCGTTCGACCTTCCCCAAGGCACAGTTCGGTATTTGGGGAATTGCAACACAGTGCTGACCCAGGTGTCGTCGCTGGTTGCATTGGTGTGAAGGGAGAAACTGCGGGAGGGCCGGAACCGTGGTTGAGAGCAGAGAGGCGTTTTTCTATGATCTTCATCGTGCCGCCGCGGTTTAAAGACGCGCGACAAGGACGCGACTGGCCACTCCACAAGAGGAACGAACCATCCCGCCACAGCAAGTCAACGTTTCCGCATTGAATTTGGAGTGCGTCAGGGGACCGTTGAACCCGGCCACCTTGGAGAGACTCATGCAAGTTTGCAGACTCGTCGGGCGGTCCCCTTTTCCTCCGTCCTCTTTTACACCAGGCGAAAGCCCACGAAGGATTCCAGTCGCTGACGCGCGATTGTTGAAGGAAGCGTGAATAATCGAGGACGCTTCATCCACAACAACAGGCTGATGGATAATACCCTTTTTCGGTTGTGGAGGAGAAAAACGCCGGTTTGCGAAAACGATGGATTGCGTGGGCACGCTACAAGAATAGAGAAGAACCTTATGAGGCTATTGTACCTTTTTTACGCATTTCCCATTACTTGACACCTGCAATGGCTGAGGCCGCTTCCTGCCTGGACTCAAAGGCATTCTTTTTCCGAGTCTCCTTACCGCGGGAGACTCGGCATCACTTTCGATGCCGCGTGGAGGACGGCACGCTGGTGGAGCCGACACGGCTCCCAATGGGATTCAAGGCCAGCCCAGAAATTCTCCAGATTGTTATTACCTCGGCAATTGCGGGCTGAAGACGGTGGTTCACTTCCTCTGGGCTGCACCTCCATTGGTGCGTGTCGACGTTTGGATCGGTAATATACGCATTGCAGGGTCGAGAAGCGACGTGACATTGTGGGAAGCCCAAGTGCTTCGTAATGCGGACGGCCGTCGCGCCACGATGGGGGAGGAACGCGAATCGGGCGCCACGCATTACACCTTTCTGGGGGTGCAGTTTGATCACACTCACAAGATGGTATTCCTGAGGAAGAAGTTTGTCCGGTCTGTATGCGCCATGCCGGCGCTCAATTCTTCAACCATCGCGGAAATGGAGGTCAAGGCGTCACGCTTTTTGTACGCGGCTGCCATTTTGGGCACGCATTTATGTGATTACCACCTTTTCATCAAAGCAGTGCGACGGCGACTATCCGCACTTAGCCGGGGATTGTGCAGGAGACATCCCCGGCGAACCTTCCGCCGGCAGCGGTTGGTTTGGGCGAGATATTGCGACACATGATCGAGAATATAACCGTAATCGAATCATCAAACCCACTGAAAAGGCATCGGCCGCCATCATCACGGATGCGTTGCTCCATTGATGGGAGCCGTTTTCATTCCATACTCCGGCGACGTTAAAACTGCCGGAGGGGAATGGGAGAGGAATCCTTTTCTTATCATGCAGGCCGAGGCGCGCGCGGTACACTTTGCCTTATCGGATTTTTCCGCCATCTTGCCACCCACCACTGACGTTTGGGTGGACAACACTTCGCTGCAGGGAACGGCGAATAAAGGCAGCTCAAAGTCATACGCGTTAACGTGGGAGCTGCAAAGGATATATGAGTTTTTGGACTCTCGCGGAATACAGGCATCCTTTGCTTACGTACGGTCAGCAGACGGCATATCACGCGGTCGTATTTTTACACTTCAGGACTTGGCGAAAGGAATGGAACTTGTGAGGGGGAGCGGCGGTGTCTTGTGGCTGTAGGAGCCCAAATTCTGTCACTTTGTAAGTAATAAATATATATATCCCATCCGAATAGAGTGCAGCATCTCACGATTGTGGCTAACGGATAATGCAAATATATATATATATACACTTACTTGGTGCAAACTTTGAAGATGTGGTGGAGCCATTCTCATTACATTTGCTTTTTTTCCTTTCGTTTTGTTTGGTTTCTATTATTGGTAACTTCAGGATTCTATCAGCGGCCCAGGTGAATATTCACTTTTTATCATCGCATGGAGTGAGGCATCGCGTCCCATTGAGGTGGGACTGCAGTGAGGTTTTGTCGCCGCGTCATGGATGGGTGAGGATACGCTTCTGCGTGTGGCGGGTGCTGTGGGTGCTCGCTCGGTGTGCGTTGTGCGTTGACAGCGGGGCCGTGGTCGTATCCCGATGGCCGTGGGATTGAACTTGAGGCGGTGACAGTGGGTCCCTTCTCCTCGTGCATGGTGGGTGATTGCTGGCGTTGTGTGCGTTTTTTGTGTGGAGAGCCGAATCTTCTCACCTGCGTACTGACAGCGCTGCGATGGTGTGTTTGTGGGGGCTGGTGTGGAGTCGCCGGCCAGGGTGAGGGCCTTGGCGGTGCTTTTTCCGCTTGTTGTTTTTTCCTTTTGTGTGTTGTGCTGCCTCTTGCTTTTTCCCCCTTGTCATCCTCTCCTCCCGTGTTCCTGCGTGG